ATACGGCATAGTATTTGCATGAACAGCATGAACATTGCCTCAAATTAATTTGTGAAACCTATGAAAATATAATAAGGACTCAGAATCACCCTTTCCTATAATATAAATCAAGTTGAAAGATATTCATATTGATAATTTCGCCAAAAGAACTTACTTGGGTTAAAGGTCAGGCTAGAATCGACATAGTTATTATTCAACATAGGTCATTACTTAAACCGTGAAAATATTTAATCTATATTAACCGTTATATAAAAAATGGTATTGTTAATAATGTTTGCTAAAAATACTTTATCATCATTCATTATCAATTATCATCTAACAACACTACAGACATCACGTTATCACATGTCGACCGCGAACCATTTCTACGTAGCGAGGACTTAAAAATCATGCCTATTATCCTATAAATTCACTACCTTATCTCACCCCTAATGTAAAACACGGCTCACAATGCAAGCTAGCAATGCTAGACAGCTGAATGAGGTCCTGTAATTCCATTGCTTAATCTACAACTGAAACAAAGCTTACAAAGCAAGCTGCTTGGCGGCCGGAATAGGTGAGACTGAGGTACCCACGTGGATAACTTTTTACAAACTTTAATTGGGTGAACATACATTCACAAATAACACAAATTTAAGTTGAAGTCGAACAAATCTATTTATTCAACTTTAAAGTCGAAATTGATATATTTACGAGTACAATACCGAATTGCGTATTTCAATATAAAATAGGTACTCAGTCAAAATAATGAATACGCTATTTATTATGAAAACGAAAATGCTCCGAGTCTTCAAGAAAATATGTTAATGAATAAGAAAGAGGTAAAAAGCATCGATTCTGACACCCGACCCTCCATTTTACTCTTTTAAAAAGGACCCAATGACATCGCCGAGGTGCGAGCGAGACAGCAACAGAGGGGGTCATTTTTGCCAATACTTAAACGAAGATAGATAGAGCCACCCCGCGGCGGGGGGTTTTAAGAAAATTTTAACTTTTCTTTATTCAAAGCAATGCCCCCCGGTTGGGGTGGCGCCCCCGGAGTGGGGCGGTCCTATTTTTCTTCTAGTATTCTCTTTGGCCAGTCTCAAAGGGAAATAACAGTGTACTTTCACACTTAAGCATTTATTAAATCCAGCATTCAAAATGAATTGCCAAGAAAGTGTTTCAGTTTGCTCGGCAGGATTTTCTTTTGTTCGTATTAATTCAATGAAATACACGACTACAATTTATGGCATTATGAAATATTCACTTTAGCCACATATTTAGGTAGATATGTAGGTACTCTAATCTAGATAAAAACCATTAACCAAATTTGAGTTCACTTTGGCCACATAATATCTGGGTAGGCACACTAATCTACATTTAAGAATGTACAATTAAACAAATTTGAGCAGACTAAATCAGACATAAAAATAATGTTTCTAAAAGTATCTACCGCCTGCCCATGACTAGTTTGCGTTGCGTGGTCATCATAGATGATAAAAAACTGCTTATTATTCTTCTCTTATTATTTTTTTCTCTTATTCTCTATCTTATATATAATATTCTCGAGTCACAATGTTAGTTACCATACTCCTCCGAAAGAGCTGGACCGAATTTATCGAAATTTTATATGCATATGCATATAGGTCTGAGAATCGGCTACTATTTATTTTTCATACTGCTAAGTGATAAGGGTTGTCCACCCCTAAATATTTTTTAAAAGTTTTTCAACATAATATTATACATACAACTCTAAATTTTCGCCCTTCTAGCTTCAACCCTATTTTTTAAATGGTGATTTTAATTTATATAAGAAAACAACGTCTGCAGTGACAGCTATTATACATATATATATGGCGATCCCGCTATTTCGTCTGTTGTATTTTTTCATATAAAAAATAGTCTGTTCGTATTTGAACAATGTCCATAGTCTAACGTAAACCGTAAACCGTGCTCGCCGCGCCGCTTTACTTCGTGCGAAGATTCGACCCCGCGACCATACGGCCGTTAATAAGAACTACTTGGTCATACGGACATAATTTTAAGGTATTTCTAGTACTACTAGGTGTAGTTATTACATGGATTAAAGATAGACAATATAACAATTTAAGGTTTATATAGTAAAAATGACAGGATCACGGGATTTCGGCAGTGTTTCAATCGCCACGGGTGAACTGAAGAGCAGCGGGTAGATGGTAAATAACGTATTTTTTTCACACGTCTTCGTCTGTTGTTACTATTACATAATAAAAATAAAGTCAGATAAGATTCCGTGATTTTTACTAATTATACGAATAAATAATGAACGCGTCAAATTTTAAACAGTATATAATTTAAAGTCTATCTTTAGTCCGGGTTTTGTAATAAGAAGCTCCGGAACTCTTAGGACTATGTTCTTGTCTTTTTGACTTTGCCTATTTCATAAGGGGTTGTCCATAATGGCGTTATAAGTTAAGAGGGCAGGGGGAGGTTGATTGTTTTTGTTTGTGAGTGAGTCAATCATTTGTCATTCAGTATTAATTACTTATAATCATTCCTACAATAACCCACATTCTCTCTTTGCACTTTTTAATTAATTTGATATTTTTATGGTATTTACTAATATAGTTTAATTTAAAATATCATAAACACATGTGTCTACTATACAAAATTCACGTGTCACAGTATTAATTGCCTTATCCATCCGAAACGGCTTGACCGATTTTGATGAATTTTTATATGTATGTTCTGTAGATATGAGAATAGGTTGTTGTCTATATTTTTACCTTTTTACCTCTAAGTGAAAAGGTCCTTTTATATTTTTTTATATCTAAAGTGATATTAAAAATACACTAAAGTTTTACACTTCTAATAATATATGAATTATTTTATAAAAAATATTATTTATTTTAATATTGTTATTTCAATATGTGGCATATTAGTATTTTAATATGTGGCAAAATAAATTTTGCCGCGTATTATAGTAATTAGTGGTTTTTTTTTTGTATGATAATGGAATGGTGCACCCACCTGCGCTAACGGTTTACGCTGGCGGGGCACCAGTGGAGGATGATAAGATGAGCATGAGGTCAGGTCAGTTAGCCCATCGTGACAAATTCACCAAGAATTCATCACGATGGTTTCCAGGGAGAACCACGTGGAGGTCGACCTAACATGGTACATTGCTAGCAATGGCAGTTACTAGTTCCCATTGCTAACAATCCCCTTCCCCCCAGTAATTAGTGGTTAAGGCCACTACCTTAAGCAGAGACGCGTTTAATAAAAAAAAATTAATAATATAATGTTAGACCACATGAAAATGTGTTACGGTTTGTTGATATAAATGTATTAAAAAATATATAATACTAGCTGTGCCCGCGGTTTCACCCGCGTGTAATTTATAACCTATGTTATTCTAATGTATAAGCGACATCACTGTAGTTTCAACAAAATCCGTTCAGTAGTTTTTGCGTGACAGAATAACAAACATCCATCCATACTCACAAACTTGCATTTATAATATTAGGTAATAGGACTTGTACTGTTGCTCAATTATTACGTCCTCGGTGGTCCAGCGGTTTCACACACTGCCTTACTTTCGATGGTCGCACGGTACGAACATTTGTATTCATTAGTAGGTATGATTGTTTGTATCTGTCTGGGTGTATTCTATGTATAATATTTACGAAAAAAATATATATCTATGTATTTATAATAGTTGTCTAGTACACATAACACAAGCTCTAGTTACCGTGGGACTAGATGGTGCTGTGTGAATTGTCCATGGTATTATTATTAATCAAAATCGTAAGTAATCTAGTGTAAAGTTGCATTTTATTGTAGAATTGATCCTAAAATTGACAGCACAGAGGTATGCGGTCCACTCCATGAATCTACCAGAATGCCAGACAGTAGAGAAATCGTGACCTGTAGTAACGCGGATAACATCAGCCCCTTACTCTACCACGACTGTTCTACCAAGTGGGTATTGAATAAGAATTCTTGACCAGTACACCAGTATATGCTACAATGGGATAGCTCTTATTCCATCACCATACACTGGTGACAAATCATATCCACGTGTTTTTAAGAAAACAGAAATAAGGGTAATACAGAAAAACAATATTAAAAAGGAAAATATTAATTTAATTTACTTTTACAAAATATAACATTACTACAAGCAATTTAGTGGGTATACTTTTTTCTTCGACGTACGCAACAAACAAACTTCACTATAATTAACTTAAATGAATATTTCGTGCAAAACTTGTATTGATTATAAGTTTCTTAGAATAAATTCAACAAACAATTACAAAATATATTTATATATGACTTAGTTGTTCACAAATCGAAAGCAGTCTGACAGATGGCCGGTACACTTTTTTTAATGTCGATTTTTTCAAATAATACACCATGAAACTGCACACAAACAAACTTTAAGGAATTCGTCAATTACAGCATTTGAGTTGGAGTTCCTTAAAGATTTCTTTGAACACTTAAAGCATTCACGGTGTCCGTACGTCTTTTGACACAATTTGTTAACCTGCTAACTCCATTTTTTAACATTATATTTCAATTGTCCAAAACTTTAATTGCTTACCTAAATTGTGGTAAAGATTTGACGATATCAGTCTAAATAGTTTAGAAATACAATATCAATCTTGTAGGAAGCTTAGGTTTGTACTGACTACTCGTTTAATATAGTTTTTTTATTTTATGGATGATAATGGAATGATGCCCCAGCCGCCACTAACGAATTACGCTGGCGAGGCACCAGAGGAGGATGATAACATGAGCATGAAGTCAGGTCAACTCTCAACTCCTGGAAACCATCATGACAAATTCTCCAGGGAACTGCGTGGTCAACCTGACATGGTACATTGCTAGCAATGGGGTCAACAGTCCACATTACTAATAATCCACTTTGTCCCTATACTAAATGTTATGTTAATTAATCTGCTTCTTTGTTTTGGTTAACACATATGAGTATTTTACAAATTGTCGGGTTAGGTTATCAGTCTTTATCATTTATAAAAAATCTATCTCGTACTATCACTCGTGTTGTTTGATCTATGTCTATGGGTAGGAGCTAGTTTAATATTTTTTTTTAATATTGCAACTCTATGAGTATTACTAATGGAAATAACCTTTTTTGAAACATTATGGCTGCTATTCGTACTAAATGGTGTAATGTTTTGTATAGTTTGACTTCTATTTGCATGTGGAGTAACATTTTTTATACCTACTCCACTTGCATTTGCACTCATAAATGTAATATTATTGTTTACAACATGAGTGCTGTTCGTATTAATGGCAACACTTAAAGGTAGTTTACGATTTTTATAAGAAACGAATGGTATTTGTTTTTCAATATCTTGACTGCTTATTTTGCATTCGATATCTTTAATTTTTAATTTAGAAACCTGACTAGGCTTCATATTTTTAAAAACGTCTTTAACAACCACAAAACATTTCTTTGCATCTTGCACAGTCTTCGATTTGACGCACTTGATCTTTATAACTCCCCGTTCAGTATTCGCTTTGGATTTTAAACTTGTATTTTGTAATGGCATAAAACTATTGGCAGAATTATTATTATCAGTTTCAGATACGTATTCAGTTGTTTTCGGTTGGGTCATGTCGTTTTCAATATCATACGTATCGAAGTCTTCGTCTAACCACATTTCTTCCATATTTTCACTGTCACTATCATCAATATTATTTGGAGCACTAATATTCTTATCTTCAAACGCCTCCGGATTCCTTATGTTGTGATCTTTATTAGGGGCTTCCTTAGAATGAGCGGCTGCCTGTATTATAAAAAACTATTTTCACTGTACATTCAAATTTATACAACTATTAATGTTAGTAATATTATAAAGAGGTAAAGTTTGCGGATTTAGACGTTCCGGGTAATCTTCGGATTTACGGTTTCAGATTTTCATTTTAATATTTTTTAAGTGGTACTATTAAAATGAGTTGTTAGAGAAGGATGTTAAGAATTAGCTGAAAAGACAATAGTAATAATGAAGAAGTACTACACTGGGTGAAAGAAAAAATACAGATATTGAATACTATAGAAAATAGACGAGGCAAAATGTTAGGACACTTAATATAGCATAATGAATTCATGAAAATAATTATTGAGGAGAAAATAGAAGGAAAGAGGAGGAGAGGATGACCAAGGAACAGTTACATCAAGCAAATTAAAGAAGTCGTGTCGTATCATCATTTAGAGAGGATGATGGAAGATCGTGAGAAGTGGCAAGAGCTCCAAGTACAAGACTGTGGCTCTAAAATTATAAATAAATATTTTATTGAAATAGTTCATTTAATTACTTCACTGATTTATATTACTTTTTTAATTGCGCTACCATTAGCATGTGTGAGACCACAAATATTCAGTGCGGAAACTTGACCACCGCTACTGGAAGCGTCATCATCTTCACTATTGGTGATCAAATTCGTTTTATCTTAAGACGATATGTTGTATCGCTAGATCATAGAAGCCATAATGAATCTTACCGCATCATCAGTTAAGTCTATATCCATGTTCAATGTTCCAACATGTGAAGATTGGGTACAGTCTGGTGAGACAGGATGTGTGGTAAGACCTTCCAAAGGATCCTGTTCATTGACTGTCTCATCTGCTTCGTCCTTTATGCTGAAAGATAATACATATTCAATACTAGCTGTACCCGCGACTTCGTCCGCGTGAATTAATCTCTATTTTTCTAAAATAAAAGTAGCCTAAGTTACTCCTTATTACATCAGCTACCTGCCAAAAAAGTCCCGTCAAAATCGGTCCACCCATTTTAGAGATTAACCGGAATAAACAGACAGACATACAGACAAAAATTGTAAGAAATGTTATTTTGGTGTATTTACCGTATGCATGTAGTAAAAAACGGTTATTTCAATATTACAAACAGACACTCCAATTTTATTTATATGTATAAATGTATAGATTGGAAATTTTGGGAATCCTTTAAAGACGAATTCACACAAACAACCATTCTTGTATTCACACATACAAGCGTTCATACACATAAAACATTCCCACATGTAGGTATATTGATATAAATTAATGAAATTGAAGTGTCTGTTTGTAATATAAAATAAACAGCTGTACACTAAATGTCAATAATGTAACACTCATTCACTCACTTGTACACTCACTACAAATACAGGAAACCACAAGTATTATATAATAATATTTTTTTATTACCTATTTAATAACTCATTGTTAATATCTACCATTGACTCATTTAATATCTTCCTAATTGTATCCAATATTAATTTTACTTCTCCCTGAAAAAAAAAAACAGTTTTATACTACACACTCTTTGTATAACCAAGCATATACTTGTAGTTTTACAGTTCGCCCCCCTTCTTTTCCTTCCTTCAAACGAAACACAGTTTACAAAACAAGAAGCGCATGGCTTCTTGTTTGGTTGAAATAGGTGATAAAGAGACATCGATCCTCCTACATCGACAGATCAGATGTCATGCCTCTTATCCTCTAATAAAAATTGAAGGAATGACATGTGTACTATGGAATGGCAACGCATGAGTGGATGGATGTCACATAATACCGTTGGATTACCGTTGGACGACCAGAAGAAGATTGTATAAAAATTAAGATGTGAACCTGCGGCCTGGGCCCCGGCACCCGCAGCATGTAGTGGTGTGAGTGGCCGCGGCTCGCCTCGCACGCTTCGCACAAGTCGTAGTCCTCGCACTGCACGCACGTGTACCTGAAACTGAACACACCACATAAGTAGACTAATTCTTCTATTACGACTCTTATCGTGCAATAATAATATATTGTTATAACTAACACACAAGGTGCAATTTCAGTCCGAGCAGAAGGCGAGGGCGTAATAGAGTCGAGTGTGTTAAATACGTACGTACATCATACGACGTTTTTCAACACACTTGCGAGGAAACAATAAAAAAACTCAACCATAAGACTGATGCACAGAGTTGCTTTCCCGCCTTTTACTTTTTTAATTCAGCGCGCTGCCTACTGACTGGCGCCGCGCGGCGGTCAGTTTGAAATATGATAAAATAAAATAGCAAACAGTGCTGTTATGGAATATAACTTGGATGGATGGATGGAAATCGAAATAAATTAAATAAATATATATGATTAATGTATAAATCGTATAAGTTAAGGAAATTACTCACCCTGATATGCCACTATTACAATCATTGCACTTGTAGCCTTCGTGTATCTGAGGCTGATTTCTGTATACATCTTCACTTTTATTATCTGCAAACAAAAAAAAATTAAGTTATTTCAATTACTGCAAGATTTTTTTTTTAATTTCATGCAAGCTATGGGACCAAGCTACATACATGAAACAATTGTTTTAAATAATCATAATGTCTTCAATGGTACACCTTGTAAAATAATAATTATGAATATATCTTCACGACTGTTCTCCAATATGGGGTAATCAGATGCACTATCAACTGTTGTGATGAAGATAGAGATCTTTACTTTTCGGTCATTGTATAGTTGGATTTTAGTCAATGGTCGTTTGTTGGATTCAAAGATACATTTGAATCCAACAACATGGCATGGCTAGTAGGGAGCTACCACCATACTCGAACTGATTTTAGTTTAATATCGATACTTCCACCACTGTAACGTTAATCAGAAACATAAGTGGACATACAAAACTTCCTTGGAGTCGACCAAATTCGACTTCACCTTTAGAGTACATGTGTTATTTTGTTATTATACTAATATTGCCCGGGACTTCGTACCTTCGCTAATAATCGTACCGACATCGATAATAAAGAAAATACATTTAGCACAACGCCATCTATTATTTAAATAATAAACTAATTAATGAAATTGTATACTTATTTACCTCAGCTTTCTGACGCATATAAGTTGAGACATATTTATCATTCAATTGTAGTGAAAATTCCATCCTAATTTCTCAACAAACGAACAGTTTTTACCTAAACACGACTTCACGAAATCATTACATAAATAATAATAATATTAATAAAGTTACCAGAAGATAATAAAGTGTTGTAATAATTATAAGCAGAATCTTACCTGTGTTTGGTTTATCATCATTATACATCGATAGATCTTCTTCTTGCCATGCATCTGCAAGCATACATGTAACTACACATTAGAATAGAATAGAATAGAATAGAAATAATCTTCATTCAAATAATATAGACATAGGTACCGCATGGTGTCGCTCTCTTCTCTGTATCTGCCATTTTAGTAAATAATTCTTTCCACTGTTTTTTAAATTAATCCTATACATATATAGGCTACTCAGCCTTCATATCTATATATTAAAATATAATTATAAATACTAATATTAAATAAAGACAAACAGGCATACACACACACATAATCATACATCAACATTATATTTACACTTATATCTACTTATTCTATATTATTATTATACTATGCACATCACACTTTATTATATTAATATAGTTACATCTTATGCTGCGTCTTAATATTAAATTCATTATTAACGTACATAGCTATCTATATATACATACATGTAGCCGCGCGCGGGACCGGGTCCCGGCAGCGGGGCGCGGGGCGGTGCATGAGATGCCTCGCCTCGCAGTCGTGATTTTTACATCTTAGGCATAACCTGTGTCACTCGCTTGCTTACGCGCTATATATAAAATACATCGCAATTATAACAAATCAATTTCTGTTTCATACTATCATTCTTCTTTCACTCCTTTTCATACTATATTCTGTGTAGAGTACAGTCACTCTATGAACTACTGTGTATGTGCTTTCTTGTAACCCGAAATAAACCACTGTGACCTATCGGGACTGCGTTTCTTGTTTCGCCTCGCTTTCCTCATCTTCCGCACCTCATCTGTTGTGCTGGGCTGTACACCAGCACTCAACAGCCGGCACACCGCACATAGCTCAACCACCACCACACATATAAGAAACCTATCAAATTATCAATTATAGGCCATCTTTTGTTTTTATAAAGCAGACAAAACCGCAGTTAACAGCTAGTATTTATAATATAGGGGCATAATTGTGTTTTGTATTGAACGCCATGAGGTGTATAAGTTTTGTAACCATATTATTGTATAAACAATAAATGTACCTGTGCATGATTCTACTACATCTTCATCGCATACGATCGAACTATCCGCCTGCCATGAGAATAACGCCGGCTCGCGCTGTATTTCCTCTGTCTGTGTATCTGTTACAACAAAGATACTAAACTACACAAAATATAACATAATAATAATAATGAAATAGAAACATTCTTTATTCCAATAAGCTTAATATAAGCTATATAATAGTCACATTCATTTGGAACGCAGACTTATCACAAGAAGAATGATCGAGAAACGTGTGTATTGCTCCTTTGAATAAATGTTATTTTAAATAAACACATTAACAAGTAGGAGGCATGCGATAATCAACATAGAAACCGCTACGCTACTTCTTTGTGCAACCAGATAAATATGTCAGCACTATTAATTTTAAGTTTAGTCTACAAAAACATTATTATGATTAACAAACTCTTTAATTTTATAATAATCTTTTTTTTTATTTATCTTTTATATTATCTCATATATAGGGAAATCTTATGTATTACAACAGTAGTTACATCATGAGAATTTCTAGATGGCGCTGTGTGTATTGCCCTGGATTATTATTATTCAAAAGTAATCATAATAGAGGGGAATAGAAATATTCAAATAAACTTAATTTGAGCACTTATGAATAGTTATAATCCTTTTTTTAATCTACCGCTCATTCGGAAAGCTGTCACATCACAAGAAGAACGAGCAAGAAACTTGCGTGTTGCTCTTTTAAATAATTTTGTTCTTACATTTTTAAGTTGAAGTGTGCGAATACAAACTACCAACTAGCACTAATTCAATTAAATACTCGAATGGAGAAAATGTTAAATATACAACCAACTGGTTGAAAACTATATAAGAGGGATTCAGTCTTAGTGATTAGAGCAGACCAGTTCCTACTAGCAGCACTCGTTCACTCATCACAAGAAGAACGAGATTTTAAATAGTCGTAGTAACTTTACATTTTTAAGTCAAAATGTGCGAATACAAAGATTACTCCATACCTGCATTTGCAGTAAAGACCACACGGCTTCGCTCCTCGCTTTCTGAGAGAGTTCTACCTTGAAACTGTTGGTCTGTGGTTTCTGTAAAGAAACATTTCGATGTATGCACTGTTCCATCTGGTAGTTATTAGTTTGTAGTTGTATTTATATAAACACGTTGTATAGACAGCGAGCCACTGATACATTTATAAATTGAAATTTTATTAATTTATTAAGCCACATTCATATACAGGTCTTAAACCATTATAAATAATTTGTAATTGTATGAGCCTGGGAACCTAACTAGGCACGAAGCCTGTATCTCAGTAACTGATCATTGTCAAACGTTAGTCTTGGGGGGAATGGGATTGTTAGTAATGTGGACTGATGATCCCATTGCTAACAATGTACCATGTCAGGTTGACCTCCACGCGGTTCCCCCTGGAAACCATCGTGATAAATTCCCGGTGAATTTATCACGATGGGCTAACTGACCTGACTTCATGTTCATCTTATCATCCTCCACTGGTGCCCCGCCAGTGTAAACCGTTAGCGCAGGCGGGTGCATCATTCCATTATCATTCACTAAAAAAAAACCGTTAGTCTTAATTAAAATAGCAGTTAAAATATTGGATAAAACCAAGAAAAAACTTCTGTCGACCACTTACTTGTCCATTCGTCAAAGAACTCCAGACTTAACTTCCCTTTATGATGTTGGATCACTTCATTATATTTTTCTTTGTGTACAATGCTATCTGTATCTGAAATCATATAACATGGCCTGGGTATTTTCTATGTATAATATGTAGGGTATTTACAAAAATAATACGGTGTCTAGCTATTTATATCGGTTGTCTAGTACCCGTAACATTAGCTTGGGATTAGGTGGCGCTGTGTGAATTTTCCTAAGATATCTAATATATAAAATTCTCGTATCTATTTATATGTATCATAGTCTTTGTCTGTCATTAAACGCCGTTAAGTAAACATCTATTTTATTCCCCTCCGCTATAAAACATTCCAGTATTTCTCAATTATTATCACGCATCAAAGAATCACTGCAATATACATGTAAAAGGTATATTTACCGGCGTTAACTGTTAGTGTAATACTCTGTACATCTGAAACGCCTTTCAGTGGATTGAAATAATTGTGTTCCGTATGAAAGGGTCTACTTCCTGAAGACTGTCCTGTAACAATGAAAACAATAAACGGTTATAAATAATATCGTATGTATAACTTAAATAAAAGTGCCGTAAATGTTATGCCTATATTGGGTATATTTGAATACAATGTAATAGGGGGAAAGAAAAAAAACCGCCGTCTCTCGAATGTAGTATGTAAAACCTTATTGTACAGTAAAAACATTTAAAATGACAGGATACAATAATCTTAAATTGTACAATGTCGAAATTATCCTATATGAGGGATTTCTTCCAGTCCACTCCACAATTCCTTTTAGTCATTCAAACCCTTATAGAAATAGAAATAGAAATAGAAATAATCTTTATTCAAATAAACTCATTACAAGCACTTTTGAATAGTCATATTTTGATTCTACCACTCATTCCATCACAAGAAGAATGAGCAAGAAACTTGTGTGTTGCTCTTTTTGATAAATGTTTTTTTTATATAAATAATTACAGTGTAACAAGTAAGAGGCATGCGACAATCAATAAAATCGCTACGCACTCATTATTGGTGTAATCAGATAATATTGTCAGTGCTATATATATATTATCGTTAACCTATAAAATAGTAAATGATAATAACAGCAAAAAGTAAACGCTTATATATAAATATAACAACTAAAATATTAAATAAACACATAAATGTAATCGATACATATAAATAAAATTGTAGTATCTGTTTTTAATATTGAAATAACCATTTTCACTACATGCATATGAATATAAACACGGTACGTGAACCATAAAACCACTTTTTACAATTGTTGTCTGTCTGTCTGTCGGTCTGTTTGTTCCGGCTAATCTCTGAAATGGCTGGACCGATTTTAACGGGACTTTTTTTGGCAGGTAGCTGGTGTAATAAGGAGTAACTTTGGCTACTTTTATTTTAGAAAAATAAAGTTAAATTCCACGCGGACGAAGTCGCGGGTGCAGCTAGTATACCTAAATATAAATTGAAAATAATAATAAAGAAATAAAATTATATGTAATAAAAAATAAGAACATAACAATAAATAAAAAGAATACTATAACAGCGCATCCGCAATGTATACAATATATGTATAATATATATTATATCATTTTTAAATAATATATGTTAATTTTTATAACAATGTACGGGAATTTAATGAACTTACTATATTTTCGCCATTCACAACAATTCCGTACAAAGTTATGAAAATATTAATATTACAATAATAATATACGTTGTTACAAGTTATCTTTATAAATATGTATTATAAGAATATAAATATAAAACGAAGACAAGGTTTACACAAATACATATATGCATTATCTGCAAGTGTACAATTATATATATTAATATATAAATAAAAATATCGTAATTATTTCACATGTCCTTTATTTATATTCCCGCAATATAACATTAAAATTACTTGAACTCCTTAAAAAGTGTATAAAAGCTCTAGTAAAGATCTAACTCCAAAGCCATTCCTTGATTCTTTTTTTATATTCTTAATATTTATTATAATCTATCTTAAATTAAAAAAAAAAACATTATTTTCATCTTTGCTGCAAAATACATATTCCGAACGAAAATTTGTGCCGTTATTTCAATTAAAAAAATACACATATCGTTCTATTTCTGTACAATAATAACAGATTTGTCATTCATTAAAATACTCTGGTTTTTTCTTACTTCAGTAATTTTACTGTAAAAATAAAGGTTAGTAAAAGCAAATTTCGCCATAGATAATTAACCGTTTTATGTAATGATATGCAGATGGCACTTAAACTCCAATCCGATCCAAAGGTCTTAGGAAGCGACTGAAGGCCAACTCCTGCCTGATGGTAACGACTTTAGTCTGAGGGCACCACTAGGGGTTCTAACCTCAGCTTGGCCCGTCGTAATTCCGATCCCCGTTTGAATTGTACCGGGAATCCATCGGAGGGGTTCTTACATCACTATCTGGGATTGTATAAGGCTCTGGTTTCGGTGCAACGAACGATTGGGGTTATTGAAGACGTAGCTGAAGATATAAGAATATAATGTAATCATTACATAGTATAAAATAAAATCGCTGTCGCTGTCTGTCCGTCCCTATGTATGCTTAAATCTTTAAAACTACGCAACGCATTTTGCAAGCGGTTTTTGTTACTTTTGCTTACCCCCTCCCCCCATGCTTACGTAAACATTTTTCAAGCTTACTTTTGCTTACCCCCTCCCCTAATGCTTACGTAAACATTTTTCAATTAATGTAATGTTTCTTTAGCAAAGACAATGTGAGGGTTGACTGTAACAGACAGACTGAAACAGCTTACATAGCAAGCTGCAAGAAGGGAGACCTTGATAAGTTCACAAGTAGGTACCTTGATTAGAACATTCATCCAGATCTACTCCATCGTTATCATCCTCCGGAACAGCAAATCGTCTGAGAATCTTCATTGAGGTCGGGTAGTCAATGAAAGAGGTATCTTTAAAATGTTTGTTACAAAGCATTCTGTGTTCTGTATACAGTTTAGAATGCAATTTTGATAGGTGGCAGTCCCTGTTAGGAAAACAGTATTTTGCCCATGATACACAACTGCAACAAAATCGGTAATAAATAATAATATACCGCCACAACTGTAATCACATGGGTAGTCAAAAGCATTGTTAATTGTCGACGTCATAGTGAACACAATATATGACATCCCAACATTTCGCTGGATATTTTTTAATCCACTGTAGCTGTTGGCAATGTGTTTCCTTCGCGCGTGAAAAGAGCTTACGTGTAAAGGCAGCTATTAAAATCGCTGTACTCCAGTCATCTCGTAACCACGGTCAGTACAATCTAATCGAAACGTCGAAACAGGTAATATACTTACCATAAAACTACTTAAATTATACCCGATTAACTATATTAATAATGTGTACTAGACACGACAGTTTAAAGCAAGCGACGGGGAAAAGGATTGTCAGTAATGTGGACTGATGACCCCATAGCTAGCAATGTACCATGTCAGGTTGCCCTCCACGCGGTTCCATCTGGAAACCATCTTGATAAATTCCTGGAGAATTTATCAAGATGGGCTACCTGACCCGACCTCATGTTCATCTTATCATCCTCCACTGGTTTACGACAATCTGGCGGGGAGCCAACGTAAACCGTTAGCGCAGACGGGTACAACATACCATTATAATCCATTAACAAAAATACATACCGAAGTGAGTTGGTTGTTCCGGGCTTCGGGAAACGATACAATTTAATGTTTGCATCGTCAAATGGTGAACAGCCACATTTGAAACATTTCCGTCTAAGTTCCTTAGTATTGTTTTTTACTGACATTTTTACTAACAATTTCACTTGGTAACACGATCGCCAAATACAACAGTAAAAACTAAAAAGGCACCAACCAAAAATGATTGACAAATAGGTCTTATGTATAAGATGTTACTAAATTATCTACATTCCTTCGATACAGAGCACAGTGTTATTTATATACAAATAAAAAGAGAAGATACAAAACTTAATTATTCTGTATTACTAAAAAATAAATTAATGCTTTCAAATTCCAAACTTACATTGCACTCATGTAGTCCCATATGGATGCAGATAAAAATATATAATAATTTACTAGAATCTATCTTATATAAATATATCTTAAAAAACATACTAATAAAGATGATGCAGAAGCAAATTGAGATAATTTGGTAGCACCCTACATACACACAAACGAACAAAATAAAATTCACTTCCTATATTAAAGAACTAAATTAGGCACTAAAATTAAGTGAATGAAATATTTATATGTATAACAATTTGGAATTAAATTATGTAATATTGTTATTAATAATTTTGAACTGTAATAAGTGTCACAAATCTAACCCCATCATAATATATAATGCATTAATTTTTGAAAAAACTGAATCATTGTCCATAATCTGTCTTCCTACCCTCATCACAAAGGTTAAAAGCTGATCAGGACAATGATATCATTACAAAATTAAGCTCTGAACAGGTATAATGTAAAAAAAATACTTAAGTATAAATTTACTTTCTTGTTCTTTCATTTATTTGTTTAATGTTATTCATATTCATGTTTAAAACTAAACTTAATTCCTGTTAACTGAATGGGATGTATAAATATGTCAAACATAAACACTAGTGCGTAGGGAGAGACATATGAATACATCTTTACAAATATATACATATATGAAATCATGTTGTGGTATGACATACTAACACATCCTGAAGTGAAGTATCATAACATAATTCGCATGCATTATATGCTGCTATAAATATTAATTAAAAAAGGACTTCCCTGGTTAACAGGTTAATATTATTCACTATTTTAATACATACTAATATTGTAAAAGTGTGTCTGTATATTTGCTTGTTATCTTTTTCTAAATCCTTTTTTGGTAAATTGTTTTGATGAAAAATGTTGGCCACATACAAATTTCATTTCATGGAGATACTTTATAGGGTAATTAACCAAACTTTCATCGCCTACAGCCTTTATCCATGCGCGACATCTAAAAACATTAATAATAAATAACCCGGTATAATTTACACAGCACTAACTCGTCCCAAACTAAGCAGAGTTGTAAGAAATAGGTACATAAATATATTTGTTTTTATAAATACAGATATAAAGACAAAAGAAATCAAAGAAAACAATGCTATTATTACTTTTATACAATAACAATGCAATTACCGGTTTTGATCTGTAGGAAATCTAGCTAAAAATACATAATTATTTGTTTTACGAACACCACAAATTTCGCAAAATCTGTTAGGTCTTCTCATAATCCCAAGAAAATAAAATAACGACGAATAACGAGTAAAATAAATAAAACTACCTATATTATTCAAGTACAGTAGTACAACTGTTTTTTTTTCTTCTAAGGCTTGGAATGTCAGCGTATTTGCCAAAATCAAAGTTTTGACAAGTATAGCATTATAAAGAGTCCGTAAGAGAGTTGTTTTAGTTGCAATTCAATATATATTTTTATTTATTATAACAATGTGTCATCAATGAATTCAATGCAATCAAAAAACAATGCACAAACTAAAAATAAATAGATATATACGTAATCGTATTATCAATTTATATTTCAATTATTTTCAATCAGTGAAAACTAGACTAAATTAATCGATAGCAAATTTGCCTATTTATCAGTGTAATCTATTAAAAATTTAGCTGTCAATATCATATCGGTGATATATTTAATTTCATTCGCTACTTATCAGTTTTTTATTTATTCTATTTTGACTTCGGTTGATAAATTTCTGATTGTTTCGTGCTTTGGACTCATTTGGACTGAACTCGCATAATTACATATAACCTGGTTATCACCTTTTTTATTTTAAATGTCTGTACAACTATGTAATATTATGTCATCTATGGTACAACAACTGTATCATGAGCCTACCAAATGCAACGGTAATAAAAACACAGTGATAGTTAAAAAAATATTTATTTTTCTACATATTCTCTGCATTCAGAAATCAATGGATTTAGTCCATCTTTTGTCCACACTCATAATCATTAGAAAAGAATCTTGAGATTTCAAACACAACTCCGTCTCTATCTTTCTTTACAGAGTCAAAGAAATCTTTAAATTGTTTACCTCGAATATGTTACTTGAGCCATATATTAAGAATAATTACTTTGTCTTCATTTTTATAAAACCAAAAAGGTATACCCCCTTTGATCATTCCTATTCAAAAGAATGAACTCCTGGGAATGTTTTTTTATTTTATTACGCTCACCGGACGGTACATTTCCAAGCAATAAGAGTTTATTTATTAAAAATTTTTTTTTAAATATATCACCTCTTATCACTTCCGGTTTTCGAGAGTAGTGGGGCACAAGATGGCGATCTATGAACAGTGACTAGGACAAAAATGGCATTATACGAGCAGCCCGCGAACAAAGCGGGGAGCCGGGGAGTCATGCGCGTCTAATACAGCTTTAGAATTCCTTTAAAGTTTCTTTTATTAAATCATTATTTCCCCTGTACATTATTCATGTCAATTTTTTTACTTACTTTTGGTATGTTTATATGAGATCTTGTGATAAATTTTCTAATCAAAGTTCCATTGATTTCCTCAATAGTGTCAACTATTTCCTTCCGTACTCCGAGAACTACTTGTACTAAGATATTTTTTTCCTATATCAACAACCTTAACTACACAGTCTTTGAGAATAGACTGAGAAAAACTTGTGGAACTATTTGGGATATTGGGAAATCTAATTCGGTACCTAGTATCGGATGTATTATTAAACTTCAGGGTTCTTCTATAGAGCACTTTCATTTTTGTTTTAGGACTTGATATACCGTCTTTTGTTCTGCACCCAGTACTAGGTACATTTATAGAACTGTCTGTGTGCTCTGATGGAGTATACGACTCTATGGTAGTATGTGCTGTCGACAATTCTTTGTTACTATCATATTCTTCTAGTAGAGATTCATTCAACCACTCTTCTTCCATATATTCTGCCAAAGACATTTTTTTACTGCTACTTTTTGCTTGTTTTACTACAATATCGGACTCTTCTGAAGCCTTTCTCTTCAATAGATTTTGATTACAATTAGGAGACACTGTTTCATGATCTCCATGTTGTTCCATAGCTGTAGAGACATCTTCCTGTTGATTAAAAGAAAAATATAATTTTAATTACAATTGCAAATGGTCACAAACAATACATTTTTCACACCATTTTTTTGTTATAACAATTATACAACTGATCGAAATTAAGAAACATATAAAAAAAACTTCTTTCAACTCAAGGAAATAGTTCAAAATAAAAGGATCAAACATACAATAATTACAATAGCTAACAAAAACAATAGGTAATTTAAGTTTTCATTAATGAAGGAGCAAATAGCAAAAGAGTATTAACATTTATGTTGCGGACCACGAGTCGGCATTGACAACACGTAAATAAATTTGTGTATAAATTTGTATTTTTCTAGTGTTTGACTATTGTTTAGGTTAGACTATTGTTTGTACCGTACCCTTTGTAGCGGCATGGATACTGTGAATTCTATGTCCGCCCATTGTGTAAATTCAATACAGGTTTAGTGTAGCCTGATCACATGGAATTTAGTCGCACGTGGTTTTTTTGTAGTTTTTATATTGTTACTATTGTATTTAGTTTTAAATGTGCGCGTATTCGCTGTGACGCCCCGTCGGTCACCGACACGTGCAGGAATTGTCGGGGGGTGGGACGAAGGACGCGCACAGCTCGGCGGGAGTGGGGAAGGACGCGCTCGGGCGCCCGTAAAAGGCGGGTTGGTTCTCGGTCGCGCTCTCCCATCATGACTTACGCTAGTCCCGTATTCGCCCACATACCCTACTATTTAATCAACAGACTACAGATCATACAGAATAGGTTTCTGCGTCGAGCCACCGGTGCGCCGTGGTTCGTTCGCAGCGTAGATCTCCACCGCGATCTTAATCTGCCCTCCATCAAGCAGTTGACTTACAAGAGTATCCACTGTTTAATTTTCAACATGAAATTCAATATTCCACAGATATTTTATATGTTGTTAATTCAGAAAAAGTATTTATATATGTTAGTTATATAAAATGTCAGTTTGTTTTATCTATATTTACATATACAACTGTTATATTCAATAGGATATTCGGAAGCATTGTCAACTGTCGATGTTGTGGTGAACACAAGACTTGACATGCCCACTTTTCGCAGGCTGTATTTTAATTAAACATAGCAATGGGGACGTGCCTACCACTGTTAAATATATACAAAGATAATAACCTCTTCATTGCTTACATCCGTCACTTCCATAATATCCGTATCGTCTACTTGTGACGGCACAGCACTGCCCAGGGCCGATGGTGTGATCACTCCATCAAAAGGATCTGCTTCACATGGTATGTCTTCATTTTCCTCCTTAATACTGTAACATATACGATGTAGGATAAGAGATGTCCGTAAATTACGTTACACTTTAAAGAGTGAGGAAGTTGTAGTAAGTTCAAATGTTGTGTGTAAAAACAAATAATGAAATCTTAAGACCAAGTTGTCTGTGGGAGACGAAAAACACAGTAGGAAAACCCCGTAAATAAAATACCATATTTTTCCTAATTTCACGTAATACAGTTGTTTATAATAAAGAGATGTACTATTCAACTATTCACATTTTTTTATACCATAGAGCAACCAGCTAGCTGCACACGAATACAGATGAGTAGTCGGTCTTGTAAGAACAGGAGAATGGTCATCTGGAACTTCAACTTATGATTCTACCCTCACACGGTATCTAAGTGGTTCATTCACAATGCACAACCACACTTAGTCCTAGAGTGTACACACTTATGAAAAGTTGATCAAACTTTACAAACTATACATATGTAAATAAACTTTATAGAGCATTGGTATTTATAACAGCACTGAGTGTTTATATTATATACTACATACCCGTCAAGAGCGTCGGTCACAATTTCCGTCATCTTATTTAACATGTCGCGTAATACGTCTATTAGAGATTTAACCTCGCCCTGTAAATAATAAAAACATTGATGTAATATATGTGGGAAAGAGAAGGAAGCATTATGTCGTCTCTAGCGCACACTGCTAGCGTCATACGGGCATTATGTAACCGGCGAGTGAAACAGCATCTTAGTGCCGATAATTAGGAAGGCAAACATTATTTTAATATTTGCAGCAATCGACAGCGCGACATAATGATTTAACATTGGACTAAGGAGTTACCGACGTAGATTGTATAGAAATTAATAATATAATAAGATGTGAACCTGCGGCCTGGGCCCCGGCACCCGCAGCATATAGTGGTGTGAGTGCCCACGGCTCGCCTCGCACGCCTCGCATAAGTCGTAGTCTTCGCACTGCACGCACGTGTATCTGAAACTGAACACAATGAATAAGCAACATATTAAAAACAAAACAATAAACCAAAATATATATTCAAGATGTTAGAATAGTTTCAACTAACAAGCTTTAGACCCATTCTAAAGTCACGACCGCACTTTTGACACTTAAATTTGCGACAGCCTGCTGAAGCTTGACAACCGTGCATTTTCAAAATAATGACCAATATCAAAAGATATTAAGAGGCCTATTACAAAATGATGCCGCTCAATTTAGGTTTAATCGAATGGATTTAACACACACAGTACTACACGCACACAGACGCAAATAACCGTGTAGCGCAATCGGTGTGGATTTAGTATGAACCATTTTGATCCTTGTAATATTTTAATTAATAATGTGATATGTTTCTACTTAACTAAGACTACTTATTGGATTTTTTTAAATAACGTTTTTATCTTAATTATCAAAGTGCTAATAATGACCATATTTTTTTATTATATTATTCCTAGAGGGTTGATGTCAGGATGCTGGCCGATTGTACAACTAAAAGCCAAAACCTTAAGTAATATGAGTAACAAATAATTGGGATAAGGACATGAAATTACTATAACATAAATTTACTAATTAATTCTTCTTACATATTAATTCAGTTTATTTATTAATAGATACAATATAATTTATTATAAGAGTCGGATACATTATTGCCATATTCACTTGTTCTAAATATTATACTTAGCAAATAATTATTTTATTTATATATAATAGTTGTGTTTTCAAGGCTTTGTTTTGATTTAAAGGTCCCATCCTTATATGTATACTAGAGGGTGCGTGTTTGCGCGGGCCTCAAATAATATCTCGAGGCGTTGTCGTTGATTTTTTTTGTGAAGACGGTTTTCTTTTCGAATAGACTTGGTTGGCAAGTAGAGTTGTCTGTTTTGATACGATTAGGTGACTTCCTATTGTAACAGTGAATTTTTGTTTCACGTGTACCATCCTGTGGCGAAACTTTGTATTGTAATGGTCACAATAGAAAACCTAACCTAACCTACCTTTCTGTTTACTATATTATTCTGAGGCATAATTTCTACTGTAAGAGTCGCAACACAAAACCTAACTTAACCTACTTTTTAATTTTTATTAATGGTCACAATACAAAACCTCATATTACCTACCTTTCTGTATTAGTATACAGAAATGTATGCTTAGTGTTGCCACCTAATTTTACAAAAAATCGATTAAGATGAGATTTATTATAGATCCCCGTCACTCTTATGTTAGAATGTCGAAAAAAAAAATTCCCACATTTTGGGTTTGCAAAATTACCTAAATATCGGGGAAAATTTGTAGCCTAGATAATATTTCGAACCGAAATCTACCATAGCTCAATAAAGGTCGACTCGCTGCAGGGAAGCCCGGTACCCCAAAATGTATTCCTAAATTTATCATCAGAGATAAAATCTCGAACTCATCTTGGATTTTTCCTTTTTGAATACTTTTAACTTATCCACTTTGGCGATAAACATTTTGTCCATACATTGTACAGAGCTTTAGTTCTTATACTGTTTACTATGAAAATTAGTTAATACTTTGCACCGAGAGTATATAATAATTCGATGCAGGGATGATTAAAACTGAATTTTAAAAAGTTCTTAAAATTGTCATCATAGATAAACTATCCTAATTCGGCCGCCATCTTGGATTTTTTCTTTTTAAATACTTTTAACATATACACTGGTGATAGAAACACTTCATATATACATTGTACAGAGCCCAGGTTACATACACCTAGGACTTCCTTAGTACGATTTACTATGAAAATCTATGTATGGTGTTGCCAGGAGATTTTGACAAAAAACACCTAGGGCCCTTTAAGGGATAATTTTGGACCAATGTTCATCACTGTTTTGTTCAAATTAGCCGAAAAAAAATTCCACGTTTTTTTACTTTTCTTCGAAATTACTCCGGGAAAATTTTTTGGACCAGGTAATATTTCCCACCGAGAATATCCATTGCTCTATAGAAGTCAACTTTTTAGTGGTATTGAATTTTAAAAGTAAAAATGTCATAAATTAAGTACCCTAACTCGGCCGCCATCTTAGATTTTTACTTTTTAATACTTTTGACATATTCACCCTAGTAACAGAAACATTTCGTTCATACATTGTACAGAGCCTCGGTGACTCCTAGTACTATTCTCTAAGAAAACTAATGTGAGGTGTTGCCAGATAATTCTGACAAAAACCACCTAAAATCAATAGGGGGATTGTTTTTGACAGATTTTCATCATTCTTTTGTTTGAAATGTCCAAAAATTATTGTCCCACTTTTTAGGACTTATCTCAAAAAATACCCAAAATCGGGGAAAATTTTTATACCAGGTAATACTTTGTGTTAAGACACATCATCTCTCCATAGAAGTCGACTGGCTGTGGGGTTGGCAAGTGTCCTAAAACTACATTTAAAAATATCCCAAATTTTCTCCGAAAAGCAAAACTCCCTATCTCTGCCGCCATTTTGGATTTTTACTTCCTAATAGTTTTGACGTATTCACCTTAGTAACAGAAACATTTCGTCCATACATTATGTAGAGCCTCGGTGACTTCTTCTTGTACTATTCCCTAAGAAAACTGATCTGAGGTGTTGCCAGATAATTTTGACAAAAACCACCAAAAATCCTTAAGGGGATGACTTTTGACAGATTTTCATCATTCTTTTGTTTGAAATGTCGAAAAAAAATTTTCCCACTTTTTAGGCCCTGTCTCAAAAAATACCCCAAAACCGGGGAAAATTTTCATACCAGGTAATACTTTGTGTCAAGAGACATCATCTCTCCATAGAAGTCGACTCGCTGCGGGGTTGCCATGTGTCCTAAAACAACATTTAAAAATGTCCCAAATTTTCTCCGAAAAGCAAAACTCCCCTATCTGTGCCGCCATCTTGGATTTCTAAAATTTCATAATTTTCCTTAGAGGCCGAGTCCTTTGGCTATCCGACGCCACACAGTGTGTTGAGCTAGCACACTCGTAGGTACCCTATCAATTTCAGTTTTTGAAGCTACATCTCAATTTCAAAATTTGTACCATGTTGTATGGGTGTTGCCAGCAAATATCGATAAAATCCACCTTTCGGGGGACGATTTTTGGTAGACCAACAAGACTTTTTCATTTAAAATGTCGAAAAAATTTTTTCCCACTTTATGGGACTTTTCTCCAAATTTAACCCAAAATCGGGGAAATTTTTTAGGCTTGATAAACCTTCCTACTGAGAGTTATCCAAGTCCGTAGGAAGAGACAAGCTTCGAGGTTGCCATGTGCAGCAAAAACGCGATTGAAAATATCCCAAAATTTTTCCAAAAACTAAATCTCCCATAGCTTGGCCGCCATCTTGGATTTCTGAAATTTCATAATTTTCCCTAGAGGCCGGGTCTTTCAGCCTCCCAATGGCCTACAATAGGGATCGGTAGTATCCCCGCAAGTACCCTAGGAATTTCAGTTTTTGGAGAGACACCCCAATTTCTATTTTGGTCAAACCATGTATGGGTGTTGCCAGCAAATTCCAACAAAACCCACCTAAAACCCTTTAGGGGATGTTTCTCGATAGGCCTTGATGCCTCTTTTGTCAAAAATGTCGAAAAAATTTTTCACACTTTTTGGACCATTTCTCCCAAATTACCCCAAATTCGGGAATTCTTTTTAGCGCTGGCAATACTTCTTACCGAGACCCATCATCGCCCCATAGAAGCCGACTCGCTACGGGGTTGCCCTATATCTAAAAAATCACTTTGAAAATAATCCGGATTTTTAGGACCAAATTCACACGCCCCCAACTCGTCGGCCATCTTGGATTTTCGAAATTTCATAATTTTCCCTAGAGGTCGGGTCCTTCGAGTTTCCTATGCCCTACAACCGGTGTCGCCAGCACCCCCGCAACTACCCTGGGAATTTCGGTTTTTGAAACCCTCGAAAAATTACAATTTTCATTTTCATTTTCACGCCGCCATCTTGGATTTTATTTTTTTCTTTTAACCTGAAATACAACCGTTTGCGGCCCGCTACGAACTACCGCTTGAACGAAATCGATCCGACGGAAATTGACAAAGTTCAGCCGCCATCTTGGTCCGCCATCTTGGATTTTCCCAACTTTCGGAATTTTCTCGTGGTCACCCTGGCGAGAGGTTTCATACATCGTCACGACCCCCCGGCACTGCTTCTGGGAGAACAACTATGTCAATCAGTCAGTGACCGTAATGCAGCTTTATATATTATAGATTAGGTGTGTCCGCGACTTCGCCAGCGTGGTATAATGAAATTGACCAAATAAAGGAAATATATTTAGATTATAACCTAAAAAAGTTTCTTTGTTTCAATTAAACAATGACGATATTTTTATACAACCTTTCATCTCCGCTTTTAATCCCTTACAATACTTTTTTCGTACTATAAAGTAGTCTATGACCTTTCTTAGGGTATACTATCTGTGTATATATATATCTATCTATATAGACTACCTGTGTATATATATGGTAGTGAATTTACAAGGTACAGGGGAATAACACCCGAGTTTTCAGGAATGGCAACGCATGAGGGAAACAATGTGCTGATATGAACATGGCAGGTACTGCTCATGTATATAGGCGACGGTTACCCCTTTCCATCAGGAGAGCCGTCAGCTTGTTTGCCATTCTAAGTTGTAAAAAAAAAGCTTCAACTGCTATCATTGCTGTTCCTGCATCATTGACGTCGCCGCATGATATTGGCTGATATTGCAGCTTCTCGTTCTTGGTTGGCCGATTCTTGATTCTTGATAAATAATTAATTGTTAATGTCAAACCTTTTTATAAATTATTATAAGACGCCTCATTGATTATATGTAATGAAATCACCATGAGCTATAGAGATTTTGGACAGAACCTTAAAAGACCTTAGAAACACCTCTGCTCTCATTGGCGGGATTACTTTTATACTTTTGCTGGAGATTTCTGAAAGACTCTCTGTGTCATTAACATCGTCTCCCTTATGGACTTTAATTGAAAGTTTAAAACTACTGACAAATTTGAGAGCTCATTTTTATGGAAGCACAGATAGTGATTTCCCACACTAAATGCTCAAACTTGAGGAAGGAATTTCTCAAAAGCATGATCCAGTCATGAAATTTAAGCCCGCCGAACATGTGCAATGGCGTCCCATTGGATATATTGCTTACTAAAGAATTGAAAGACAATTTAATTGTAGACCATTATAACCGGTACGTTAGCTGGGCAACCAGCTTATATACCAAGAATACCGATGATTCCAACTGATCTGCCAATACCATTTTAACGGCTTCAATTTCCGGTTAAAATATCATCTACACATGTAATAGATCTATGTATGTTTTGATCTTAAAAAACTACGCAGATTTTGATTCGTTGTTATTTAATAGACAGAATAGATAGACTCAAGAGGAAGGTTTATATATAACGTCCCAATACTGTACACGGATCTTTAAACGCGCGATAACCTATATATCCCATATTCACGCGGGCGAAGCCGCGAGCTAAAAGCTAGTCTCTAAATAAAAACATTTATAATATTGTTGACTTTTCACCCAAACACGCATAATTATTTGACATAACTGTACAGTAATGAAAGTCCAACGAGTATAATAACAGAATAGCTGCAATTTAGAAATATCTGTATTGTGTAAAATAAAATAAAATTGTATAAAATATCTCTAAACATTAAGGAATATAATTTATATATAATTTGGTAACTTATTTACAATCCACATTGCATACTAGATGATATACACTATATAACACAAGACAAATGTACGTAAAAATAATAATGGTATTTTTATAAACAATAACTCTATTTTAATTTAGAAAAAAACTACAAAATAAACATAGAGTAAAATTGGTTTACATTTTCTTACATTTTTCTCTCAGATAAGTGTTATTTTTAAAAATACTAAATTGTTATCTTTTTTAATTTTAACAATTAATTGCCATTAGTGTGACGAAATACCATGCTCTTGTGCTTTTCATAGTCCAGCAGGGTAGGTAGGTTTTATTTGTAGCATAACTGTACTTTTGTCTTGGCATGCTAAAATAAATATTATATATATATATATATATATATATATTTAACAACAACTTTAAATTAATATTCGTAGAAATAAGTATATATTAGCAAAATTAATTAAATATTACTTAAATTATCAAAATGGTTTAGTCGCTCTATACTAATGTTCACTGACGAATGTCTTATCTTAGCGGTGTTGTAAAAAATGGCATAGGTCCTACCTCGACGAGCGCTAGCGCAGCACTGAGAATTTACATTTGGCGCAACGGAATTTATACAACTTTAAATTATTATTATTGTTTATTTTTTTCTTAGAAACTTATATTTTTTTTTCATATTTCTAATTTACAAGTATATTAACTTTATTATTATGTTTTTTTTATGCAAAAATTTCGTTGTATTTATGAGAAAATTAGAAATGATTATGGCAAAGTTTTGTTGAAATTTCGGGTTTAATTATGATCAATTTTTTAGATATTTAAGTTGAAAATGAAAAAAAGGACGATGCTGTCTCAATTTATAAAGTAATTATCAAGTTTTAGTAAAGATATCATATCAATTTATGTTTGTTTATTAATGAACGACGACCCCAAACTTCTGTCATTTAGCGTTTTTGAATAAACTATTTTAGAAATTAGAAAGACTAACAAAGAGAAAATTAACATTTCAAAGATGTTGTTTTTAAGATGAGATATCTATCTATATAATTCAGGAATCAAAATGTATATCCGACTCTTAATTTCTTAGAACCAGAACCCCAAAGACACTGCTTTTAGGCCAAAAAATGTGAAAGGCCTCTTAATACAAAAACTAATTAATGAAAAATAAAGTAAGAAGGTCTTTCATTTATTACTTTGGTGATTTTTTTATAATATCGGAGATTATTAGAATCTGCCTATGTACATTCTAACATCTCCAAGAACGTTTGTACAAAATTTCATGATGATAAGTTCAGTAGTTTATGCGTGAAAACGTGACAAACATATGTTTACCCTACTTTCACATTTAAAATATTAAGTAATAAGGATGTAATGATTAGCGGGTGTCAGCAGTCAACAAGTATCAAATAAAAACACTACTTACCCTGATATCGCTCCCTTACAGTCGTTGCATTTGTATCCATCATGTATTTCAGGTACGCTCCTTTCTTGTTCTGTATGATATATAATAAGCAAATTATTACGTATACAAAGATCTATCATACATCTATAATATTATATATACTAGTTGTTAAAATATATCGTGAAAATTTTACTTTAATCATATTAGTAATTATAACTCCATAAATAATGACAATTATATGAATTTTTTTATTTATTATATATGACACTGTCTGATTTGATTACAGATTAAGTATATTGTATGACATGTTAATAAAGTAAATCATAAATGTATTAATTTATTTTAATACACAATTTTTATTTTTATGGAATTATTATAATATCATTGTAGAATTATTTTGATAATTGGGTACATATAACACATTGCACGAGGTCTATCTAGATGCGCCTATGCGTGTGTATCAGTGGCGGACTAAGCCTAAAGCGAGCGCTAGGCAACATTATAATTCGGGGCACAGCACATTGCAATTCCCGGCTTGTTTTTCAGTCATGATCAAAACACATACTTTGCATTTGATAGTCTATGTTACTAAATGGGCTGACGCCGGCGGAGTTGCGGTGAACTATTATTGTAATCCCATGACTCCGGCAATTGGCGCTTCGTCGGAATACTTTGGAGATTTTAATGAGTCTCAGAGTACCCGCTTGCCTGCCCCGGGGCTGGCGGGTCTCTATGAGGAATTTTCTCCAAGTAAAAATAAAAAGCCACATGCCTATATTGCCTAGGCCTTCGTCCGCCCCTGGTGTATATATTAATAGTCAATATCACAGCAAGCTTACCGTTTTCCTTATTTTGTTTCAATTCAATTTTCGGAGCATCGTCGTTATACATGGAGCGGTTGTCGTCAACATATGCAGAGTCTGTAACGAAAGAGAGATCTTATGATTTGCATACATATCAAAATCAAAATATTTATATTCATGTAGTTGTATTACAGACTCTAATGATGTTAAATCTACTGTCAGTTCGAAAAGCTTTCGAGCTAAGAACTGACAAGAAACTTAGCTCTTATTCTTTTCAAATGAGCTTGTACATGTTTACAAACATTACAAATACACATTCATATATAAATTCAAATAGAGTGACCACCAACAAATGCTATTGCAATTTTGTTAAAAGGAGCCTAATCTGTGGTCATAGCCTGAAGTCCCCACAAGCAGCACACATTCACGAGTATGACGGATAAGATATATAAAATATTATATACGACGAATTAAATATATTATATACGACCTCGATGGCCTAGCTGTTGAGGATACCGCTTCACTTCGAACCGCTTCGGACGGTGCAAACATTTGTATTCATAAGCGTGAGTGTTAGTATCAGTATTAAGTATTTCGTTAGTATCAGATATATTAAGTATTACCAAAAAAAATGTATCTAATTATTTCTATCAGTTGTGATACAAGTTCTGTTCAGCTTGTGACTGTCATACCTGTGATTACATCGTCGTCGCAGACTACTGGAGCACCTTCCTCCCAAGAAAACAAAGGTACTTCAGGTTCCTTTTCTAAAAAAATAATACTTATATAGGTTACAATAATAAGTTATGAGGCTTTCCCGTAACTCTGACAAAAGGTGAAGAGAAGGAACACCTTGGGGTTTTCAGCCGGCTGTACACATTTACAGGAGGTAAATGTGTACTGCCGTTCTTTTACCGGGATGAGCAAAAATGGGAACATCCTTGTGGACGAGAAATTTTCCCAAAAAAAAAAAACAGTAATGGAAAGCAGATCACCAGTATCGCTTGTCTTATTAAATTGGAAAAAAGAATCACTACAACCCCGCTTAGATCCTCTTACAAAGGTAGGAAATTTTTTGACGGTCTCAGTGGTCGGTAGTAGTTTTACAGAGCGTTTTTCTTCCGATGGTCGCGGATTCGATTCCTCGCTTTTTTGTATTCATGAATATGATTGTATTGTTCTATTACAAAAAATGTATCTAAATATATCAAACAGTTGTCTAGTGCCATAGCGAAAGTTCAATTTAGCTTGGGAGTAGATAGCGATGTGTAAATAGTTCGAGGATATTATTTTTCTAAATAATTCATTTCCGTTACGATTGGTGTTGAATACGTATGTATGTCCGTAATGTATGTATATCCGTCCCTAAGATGATACACGTAAACCTAGCCATGTGGCACGGGACTTTTTTTTCAAAGTGGCATAGGTTATATATGTCGTTAACATATACAAAAATTATGCGAACTCGGGCGAAGATGGGGCGTACGACTAGTCAGGTTAATAAACGTACCTGTTGGCACAACGTCGTCGTGTTCTGCTGGAGAATTGTCGTCAAGATGAGACAATGGTGATTGGATTTGTTGTTCTGTAAAATAACAAACATATTATTACTTGCCGACCCCGCAAAGTTGTTTTGCCATGTATATTAAAATCGCTTTTAGAAAATAGGGGTTGGTGACAGAAGGGTCAAAATATTGCAATAGTTGTTCATGCACGAGATTCATTTAATGTTAGTCATGGCCACTATAATTATACAATGTACATAAACGCGATTTTATAAAAAAAAATCTGTTGAGTTTCTTGCCAGTTCTTCTTAACTGAATCTGTATACTGAACTGGACGATAAAAAAAACTTGACATTCAGAAGCGGCTAAAGTGTCCTACATGAATAAATGATTTTGCTTGTGAAAGAACGTATGCGTAAAGGCAGGTTTTGAGTGAAATAATTAAATGGTATCATCATACCGATTAGCGCATCTTGGTCCAATACTACGGGAGTACTGTTCTCGCAAAGCAAACGGGTATCCGGTATCGAAGTGTTGGGAAGCTGTTCTGTAATATAAATAAAGCAGTAAAACACTACAGCTGTACAAAACAGTTATTTACTCACTACCGACAGACAAAGTAATTTCAATGTATCTATTTATATTACATTTTACGGTCTCGGTGATCTAGCGATTTACCACACCGCCTTACTTCCAATGGTCGCGAGTTCGATTCCACGCACGGTACAAAAATTTGTATTCATTACCATAATTGTTAATACTAGTCTGGCTGTTTTATAGGTATGGATTTACAAATAAATCCACAATGTAGTTGTGCGTGTCTTAAAGCTAATTAATAAATATAGATACAGTCTACTTGAATGTGGTGGAAACTCTATCAATTGAGATTAAAGAGTATGAACTTACTCTTAGACACATTCTGCTTATCTGCTGGAGCACTGCTCTCCAAAGATTTGACGGGTATGTTTTCTGTAACAAAGAAACAAACTCTTTAAATTAATCTAAGTAACCTTAGATTAACCAATGTTCAAAGGATTTGCCTTGATACATAGAGATAACATTGTTTTTAAGATGGAATTCCGGAACCACGACTCATGCGAAACGCAATAACACTTAACGCCAATGTTCTGAAAAGGTGTATTAAGGTATATTGGAAATTTTCAGAAATGTCGATGCAGCGGTACTTGTTTTTTATTTCTCTTACAAGTTACACTCCACATTCATTACGTAACTAAACTACACTTTAACAAGAATTTATATTCTACATCTGATCGTCTTGGCTGTCTTGAACAGAAAAGAAAGAAGACTGTTCCCTTTCTCCTTCCCATCTTCATACCCTGTGCGTATCAGTGGTGGCACGATGGATCAGCCGCCCATTCGTGCTGCAAAACCATATGAGGCCATACTGCGTGTTCTACCACTTTAAAAATTTACACTAAATTGAAGAGTAGTAGTACGTAATAGATACTACACAATTCAATTTTTTTTGTAGTAGGAGTAAGTATAAATAGAAAATGTAAATAAAACACAAACTTGTTTAATACTCATATATTCGATCAAAATGAATAAGAAATTTATTGCAACACTTTAAGCTTAAATAGAAACTAACAAGAACAATAAGAATAGCAAGTTTGCCAGGCATTCTGGAATACCAAGAGAATCAATTGGAGATACAATAGCTATAAATTCCTGTTTGTCTATAGTTAAAAAAATAGATACCATCATATAGTAGCACTCCTATAGTCAAGTCAAGTTTTGCAGAATGTTTTAGGTTGCCTCCCTCAAGGCGAGCACCTCGGCCCAATTGGAAAATCTCTAAAGATCTAGGAAAATTATAATAATTGTAATTAGGCATCTATGCGAAATATTAGTTGGGCCATTCATTTCATGTTTCATTAATATCATGCTATGTATCTTATCTATTCAATGCTAGCATTTCATATATATATTACAACAAATGCAGTAGACAGCATCTCACCAGGAAGATGAAGCGATGGCACCGCTAATGCATTCAAACGCTTGTTCCGATTTCTATCGCGTTCAGTAAAATGTAAATCACAAACTATTTTTTTTTCATACACTATAAAATCTTCTTCACTTTTTAATGTCCCACCAGCAATTTCAACCCATAGTTTAAATCTTTCAGGATGTCTTTTACGGTTAGGAAACCCATGATTAGGGATATCTGAAATCAGAGCACAATGACCATTCAGTGGCAAATAGCAACAGATATCAACAGGAGCTTAGCCATCAACAAATATAAAATGAGTTGCACATCCTGAGATCTAGTTCTCTATCTTTAAATACTGTAATTATAATGTCATCAGTGTGTTATATCACACACTTCAAAATACAAGTTTCTTGACGATAATAATAAAGGAAATACAGGTTTGTGTGTGCTGTCATACAAATCCTCTATTTTACAAATTTTAGTATCTCTAGACACAGCTGGTCAAGGAATTTTTAGTAATAGAACCTAGTTCAATGGCAGAATTCATCACAACAACCTCTATACATTTTTTTTAAAACCAATCTGTTTTTATTACTGGTAGGTTTACTGCACATGCTTACTTTTGTGATCCTAAGCTCCTAAATAAATATAAAGAAAAAAGGTTTACTACAATACTACTATTACTAGCCAATGAACCTCTTTTCAAATACTATAACCTACTGGATAATCAGATATTCATTATAAAAATTAAAATTGTGAAATGTATATTAGAAATTACAATTTTTTTATATGTCAGTCATATGTGTACTTGCTTTTAACAAATCTTAATACATCAATGTATGATTTGAAGTAAACATTACAAACACTGACTATGTATTACTAAAACTCACCCTGATTAAGCGGACATCCTAATGCGCACCGTTTAGGCATAACAATTTATTAGTCACTCACACAATCAATGGTTTGTACAGCAAAAGTCCTTCTTCTGAAATGTGGGAATGTTGGATGTGGGAACACAACTCATAGCTTGTAATTAGGGAATAAGAAAACTATAGTTTGTTCTATTTTTGAAATATCAATTAGCAGAATAGAAAGGATTAAAAAAATGTATGTATAAGAATGGCAAAACTCCAATTTTAGAAGTTTATAAATCCAGCTTGAAGCAGACATAGTGATTATTCACTCAATACTTATACCTCAAATTCAATTACACTGAGCAAATATCACCATAGAATTTATTTGTTAGTTGACATGTAGCCACTATAATTTTTTGTTTACATTAGGTTACTTTTGATTATAATCATAAAATTATAAGATGTAATATAAACATGGTGACCATGGTTAATTAACTTATAATAACATGATTTAACATATTCTGATAATTTACAGTTAATAGCAGGCTGCAAATTCAGTTTCATGGAGCAAACTGAGTTGGATAGAGATACTTTCTGCACAAGATTTGTAACATACCAAGATCTTTGTGTCACCAATACTTAGATGACCATTTCCATCTCAACCAATTTGGATTTTTACTTAAAATGGATGCAATTTAACTGTCCTGTAGGTTATGTATATCATACAAAATAGGTATATGTATACCTGTTCTGCGTTCATAACATAAGACACGACAACGTAATATACACTTTTGTGGCCAAATAATTAATTTAAACAATACAAACTAATAAACACAAGTGGATTGACCGATTCATACACAAATATTTTGTTGTAAATCACACGGGTTAGGTAATATTTATATATTAAATATCAAAACAATATTAATAACTTCAACTATTTGTAAAAGCGTAATGAATTTATAAATAACACAAATGTAAATAATCTTGTGAAAGTGCCGTGTCAAGTTGACACTTGACATTTATGTGAACTTTTGTTTTTTTTTTAAATATAGTATTTTATTTACATAACTTAATTGTACAACTAAGAACCTAAAATTAAAAAGCTTAAAAAATAAAATATAACAACTAAAATATATTATTAAAAGGTTGGTTGAATGATGGATGAACTTTTAGCTGTCAAACTAACGTCCGTACTGTATTGGAATAATCGATAAATATCTGAAGTTATCGATAAAATTGAATCTACGTTTAGAAAATTACATAGATCAAACGATCCTTAATGATTATACGTATAAAATAGCTATGCCAGTGATATCGTCAGCGTGGAATACTGATCTTGGATGGTAATTTTAAATATATACCTACCCTAATTATTATACAAATAAGTCATACATGACATGACATCCCTCTATCTTCAAAAATGACTAATATGTTTAATCAACAGCATAAAAAATAAGTTTCATACTTTTAGATGTAAAAGTAACAATACTACATTTCATTTCTTTCAATCCCTTTCAACCCTTTTTTTGCATTAAAAAGTAACTTATAGACTTTCTCAGGATATAGACTATCTATGTACCAAATTTCAATTATCGGTTTAGTAGTTTTGGAGTGAAATCGAGATAGACTATATGCGCGTATGAAAGTTAACGAACAAATTACAGATATCAAGACAAGAAAGCCCTATCTGTATTGAAGAGTTTGAACCCCAAACTTACACTCTTATTCCAGTCTGTCCGGGAGATTTTTAACAAATTGCAATTTAAATAATCAATCATAGTAATAGAGAAAATATATTTGAAACAACACATTCATTTATAGAAATATTAGTACAGTTTCATTAAACAAAAATTACACATTCTAAATCATTACAATATATTAAAGCTAATTGTTTTGGACGGTCGACATCCAAAACAGCACGAATTCCTCCATTTAAACTGATTAAACCGTCTTCTCCCAACATCAACACAAGACCTCTAAGCCTCCCTTGATTAGTTGGAAGACCCACGGTAAGATTAAGAATTCATGGTGAAATGATTCCAATTGAGTGTATAAAAGTAGGTGCTTCTTTGCCTCCAAGATGTCTGCGGTAGAAAGAGGTTACAAATCTTTGGAGGAGATGGACTAATAATATGGCTGGCAGTGAATATTCAGTAAAATAAATAACATACCAATCTTGAAGTAATGTATTTAGTAGTAACATATATGACACAATAATAGCAAAAACAATGTAATAAAAAATATATGGTTTAAAAATAGAAATAGCTATAAAAAGAGGTCTGTCACACACAACAACACTAGAATAATTAATTCATACTACCATTATATTTAGTAACAAAATGAGAGCAATGTTTGCCATATTATTGTTAAATAAACAGAATTAGAAGAGAGAAATATTAAATAAAGCAAAACATGTTCTAAAACAGCCCAAGATGTTTTTAAAGGTTTATTAAAATAGTACATAAATTGTGACAGTCTATGGTAAATGGAATAATATAGTAATAAAATAAAAAACCTGGAAATGTGCAAGTCTGCATGAGGCTTCCAGAAATATAGTGTTTAAGTAAAAAAACTGGTACTAACTTGAACTTTTAACTTCAGCAATATCGGGAACAGCAAATTTGTTCAGTTTTTGCCTTTCACTGTCATAAAATTGAGAGGAATGAAAGTGCCTTCCACACAAGACTTTGTTTCTAAGATAGAGAGACTTTAAGAACTCCAAAGAGGACCAGTCTTCATTTGAAAAGCAAAATTTGGCCCAAGCGTGAGCTCTGAAAAAGACAAGTATTTGTTATAATTAGCCATTTATTATATACCACTATCACAAAACAAGAATATATATATAAATATATGGGCACATAATTTTGCTCACTTACATATATAGAGAAATGGAGATCAATCAATGGAGAATAAATAATTTACAGCTAAATTAAATATCATGTTGCCAACGACCTGAAAACATTGGTACTGAAGATTGAGGCAATAGCAGCTATTATTCTGCTGCTTAATACAAGGGGACCCGATAATAAATTTTATTATCTAAGTAGTAATATAAAATATTTTTAACTCACTTTTTAATATTTGCAGATGCAGGATTCGGAAACCTATGGTAGGTCACAGTTTCGTCTTCAGCGCGTGTTCTATGACACTTTGCACACTTCCTATAATTGTTTCGGTTACTCATTATATAAAATAAAGACCATAAATAATTAACTACTTTAATAGTAATGAACTAATCTGAATTAACCTAAAAACGTAATAACATAACGAAAAGTAGAAACATCTTATCGTAACATTAAACTAAAAACATCCTTTCGCTATTAAATCAAAACACTTAAATTATTTAAAATTGCCGACGAGTTATGATATTCAATGTGAAGAAAACTCGGTAAGACCGTAATTGAGGTTAATTTCGGCCGAAAATCAGATCAGAATTTATTTTTTGCCAAAAAGACTTGTTAAACAATGTTAAATCATTATGAATCATTGAAATTACAGATGATTTTTTATTTTCTACGTTTTCAAGTAGCACACACAAAGAAGACCGAGACTTAATAGAGATGTTCAACTCGAGTTAACTCGAGTGTTCTGAATTCGAGTTAACTCGAGTTAGGAGAATTCAACAGGTAAATGAACGAATCAAGTGAAAAAGCGAGAGCGTGATTACGTCGTTAGGTTAGCGCCTTACACCTTCCATCGCATCTACCGAATAAAACCGACAATGAAATTACGTTTTCTGATCATATCATACAATTTTCACTTGTCATAAATGTCTCGATATTGGTTTTTTTTTCATTGATGATATACTGTTTGCAGGGGAAGCCACGTGGAGGTCGTCATAACATAGTACATTGCTAGCAATGGGTTCATTAGTGCACATTATTAACAATGCCCTTCCTCCTCACAAGATTATTATATTGTCAGTCTGTCTGTTTGGCTGTGATTTTGACGGGACTTTTTTTGGCAGGTAGCTGTAGATGTAATAAGCAGTAACTTAGGCTACTCTTATTTTAGAAAAATTCTCGAATTAACCATTTTGTTAAATTCCATGCGGACGAAGTCGCGGGAACAGCTAGTTATGAAATATTTTTGTAAGTGTCTGCAAGATTTGAACTCTATACCTTTTGGTCAAAGTCGTGGTTGTAATACACTAGACCATGATTCTCTCAAAATAGACTTGTAAGATAATATTCAATACCTATTACAATTTTCATCCATGGGCCACACACTCTATAATCTCTTCTGGACAGACAGTAGTTGTGATCTATTTCCACAATTGTGGTTATTGATGGCTGCAAACCTGCAATATATATATTGTCATAGCAATAATATATCATATAGAGGTTATTTGTTTTACTGACCAGACTGTATTTGACCAGAGTAATGGTGAGGCTAAAATTGAAAAAGGTAAAGAGTATTTCTTATTCTTATAGTATGTAGCATATAGTAGCCGTTATAAAGCTGATATGATATTTCAAAGATAAATTGGGAACATATTTTTGTAATTTCTTTCTCAATTTACTTGCAAGTATGAACATATAAAAAAAAACTAAGCATATATATTTATCACTATATCAATTGTATTACAAATTCCTATGTAAAAAAAGTTACTGACGATGTAAGAATAAAGTAGGTACTGCAGACCAAACAAGGCGTCCACCCCTTATTTTAGCTGTAATATCAAAATGGTGATCACAAACTCTTTTGTTTCTGTGTATTCTAGAATGATCAGTTTCTATAAGATTGTCCCCAACAGCTGATAGCCATGCCAAAAACACATCAGGTTTCTTCTTTGGATTTGGGAATGAGTGAATGGGTACATCATATGTAACTGAAACAGAAACAAAATGAAAGTATTAATGGGCAAGTGTCAATAAAATATTGTTCCTAATATGACATAATATAATAAAATCACAAAGATGCAATGACTAACTATATGTTCAATGTTGCATGTAAAAATAGTTGAAATATTGTATCAAATATCATTTCAAATTTTCACAGAAAGTATGCTAAAGAAATTTAAAAGAATACTCCTTAAAGGAAAAGAAAATTTAAATTCCAATAAAATTTTAACATGCATAGTAGCAGATAGATAGATAATAATTAACCAGATGAATCCTTGTCGTAAGGAATAGAAAATCTTAAAATTTAATTGAATATAAGTAAAGTAATTTTTGTACTATATATTATTAAGTGTAGAGGAAGACTGAAAAAGAGATGGATGGACTGTGTGAAAGATGATATGGCGAGAAAGGGATTAATAACGAGATGACTGCGAACAGAGATGAATGGAAGAGAAAAACATATTACGCCAAATAAATGGGATAAAGAAGAAGCAGATGATATTATTAAGTTTAGAATAATATCCTACTATTCCCACACATAGACTAGAAAATATTTATGATTTTCATTTATATAATATAATAGAAGTTTTTATAAAACTAAAATAAGTGTTTATACAATTGTATAAATACTTATTTTATCATTATCATTCATTGTATCATTTCAGTTTGTACGTTGACAGATAAACTTTTTTAAATTAAACTATAAGTCAATAACATTGATTGTAACTGCTTTTACAGCTTCATGGGGCGAATAAACTAATTACATGTTGTATTCCGATTTCTATTATTAATGTGCTGACCCTGGTGAATTTAAGAAACCATATGTTTCTATAAAATTTAAGACATGGACTATGCAGCCATGACCAGTCTATTTAATATAATAAATAATTAATATAAGCTATGAACAGTTTATTTAATATAAAAATGAATGCTAATCATTTGAAAGTTTTGCACACCTAGGAATGTTATTTCACATGGAAAGACCTATAATTTTTATTTAATATAATAATAAAAACTTACCCAAAGCATCACAGCCAAAAACACAGTATTTTTTTCTTATGGCGCTCATTTTTGTACAACTCTAATTGTACATTGTTTTCCGAACACAAAACACGTAACATAACACAAGTTTATTCTATTACGATTTTTCGTAAGGTTACTTTCACAGTAAGTCTGCGAATGTTATTACAGTTGATTTAGTGATGTTCGAATATTCATCGATGTTAAGTGGGCAAATATCAATGTTAATGTATTTAATGATAATGCAATGTTAAGTCCTCGATAATATAGATAAATATGAAATGGTGATCAAATGACCAACACTTGCGTTCTGTAAAACAATACCAAATATTCGGCGGTCTAAAAATACAAGAGCGCTGATAGGCCGAGGTGAAACATTCATGTATTCGGACTTTTTAACATCAATACCGATAATCGATGTGATACGTTACGAGGTGATTAAAAAAACGAGTAAATTCGCAAAATATTAATGCATTTTTTTACACGCCGCATAACGTATTAGGAATAATGACAATTTTAAGACCTTATTGTACACGTGTTCCTGTAAGAAAATAACATGACCGTTTTGATAATAATAATAAATATCTTTATTAATGAGGGTAAAATACAGACACTAAGTAATTGACTGACATTGACATGTCCACTAATAATCGTAAGTCTATAGTATAGGGTAGGTTTAAAGTACCTACTGTTAGTAATGTAGTTTTTGCAGCTAAGAAAAAACGACGAATCTTCCACTTTTGCTTTTTTTTTCAAAAAGATTGTATGTGAATAAATACATAACAGATACCTACTCATATTCAAATTACATTTGTTACAATGTAGATTAAATAATTTAAACTTGGTATATGTTGGTGGTCAACCAACATATACAAAAGATATATGTCTGAAAAATAAACCAATTTAATTAGCAGCAATAAACCCCAATAGACCTGTCCAAAACAATAAAGTAATATATCTGACAACACCCATTAACCAGTATGATGGGTACCATCAATGGGTATTTATGCCAACCATCTTTGTATGTTTGATGCTATAGATATTCTATAATCCATCGAAATAATCGAATCTAATCGAATTTGATGTTATAAATATGTCTTAAACACATATTTAATAACAGTTTTGTTGTGTATTTGTGTGTGTATTATAATGATGGCATTTAAAATCTCAATATAAATTTAGTCGTCCTTCTCTAATGGTATACACTAACAGTGCACCAGTGTTATGTTGAGCATGAGATTAAGTCGGTTAGCCCATCGGAATAAGTTCGCAAGGAGTAATCATTTCCAGGAGAACCCTGGGGCAGTTGACTTAAATTTGTATATTCTTAGCAATGAGGTACCCATTACTAATACATCCATTCCACTCCTTATTATATAGTAAAAGTTGTTTCAGTAGTTTAGTTACAGATTATAATTATAATTTGTTCCATAGAACAAGTTATTAATGGGATAATATTAATCTATATTTGACCTGATTGGAAATTATCTGGACTGCTGTCTTCAGTAGGTACCGAAAACCTTCCCAATTGCTTCTTTGTATTATCAGTAAAACAAATGTCTTTAAAGTGCCTCTTGCATAATACTTTGTTGCTTTTAAACAGCTGAGTTAAGGCCTCCAATGATGTCCAATCTTGCAGCGGCCAACAAAACTTAGCCCAAGCTCTTGCTCTGTTGAAGGTACACATCTTTTAGTTAATTAAAGTAGCGCTTAATGACTAAACAAACTTAATAACAAAGCAATTAAACACTGTACCAAATACAGTTTATTAGCAATAATAAAATTAGAATATTCAGAATTATTTCCATATGAATGTTGAATATTTTGGTAGTTGGTCTACAATTATAATTGATTAATTAATAATGTTATAAATATACAAATTTTACCGTTCAACATTTGTTTTTCCTGGTTTTGGAAATCGATGGAATGAATGTGAGCCATCCTTAATAGCAGTTGCTTGACATTTAGCACACTTTCTATAGGAGTCCGTAGACATACTTATAAATATATCTTCTACTTTCAAGTTTTTCGGATCTGTGGTCTTCCACTCCTGATGTCACTAATAACTGTGTACAAATATGATCCAAAACAGACCGTCCGAACTCCAGCCGTCTCTTTCGTGCAACTATATTTTAATTTTAATATCTAAACAAACACTGAATATTTTCGCGAGTAATCTCAGTTCTAAAACTATAGTCCAATATAAAAAAAAAACATATTTATCACAGCCCAGTGCGGTGTAATATTCAATAGTATAAAAAAAAAGAGTAAGGCGAGTAAATTATAATGAAATGAACAACTTTAATACTTTATTCAAATATGAACAAAGTAAACAAACAATACGTTCCGGTAACCGGAAGTAGTGCGAATTAGAGATGTGCCATCTCGAGTTGAACCCAAACTCGAATTGGAGCTGGTGGCATTGAAGGAATCAAACGAAAGCACGGTTCATTCGTTATATAGAATATTTGTCGTCGAAAGTACATACTTTTAAGAATGTTGATTACCAAGAAAATATTTTTAGTGTTTTTTTTTTCTTGTTAATTAAATAAATAATACTCTAATTCTGGGTACTGTTATAATTAAATATGTGTTGATTGCAACTTAATGCAACAATTGATTGAGGCAACAAATGAACAAAGTAGATTACTAAATACAAGTTACTAAAAACTATCTAAGTAGGTATATTTCATTCTGATGATTAAAAGATTAATAGAATAGTATACCCACATAGATAGACTGGTAGTATAACTTTACCATGTACAACTATAATCGTTGTCCGAAGACTGCTACATACCTAACTAGTTTTGTTATTAAAAAGGTGTAAATTATTTAAGTAAAGTTAAAATAGTATAGTAAAATAAATAATAGCTGTAACAATATAGTCGCTAAAACCTTTTTTATTTCAATCATACCTGCGAAATTTAGTAATGATAATTTTCTAACAGGCCTTAGCCAATCTGCGTGCTATTTCGAATTCAACTCGAGTTACTGGTATTTTACCTCGAGTCGTGTTTTTTCGTGTTGGCTCAACACTAGTATGGATTGTCAAAACTGAAATCTTCAAGCTTACTTTTTTTTTGCTGCGGCAATTTGTGTTGCCATTAGCCATGAACAAAAGTTTCAAAAGCAAAACAGTGACACATTGAGCATATACTTAATCACTACGCCTTATCGTAGTTGCCACACTTTTATCAATAAAGTAAGTGAATGGGTGTAACCACAAGTTTCACAAAAAATACTTTGAGTGAAACTGTGCAAAAGCCAGTCATAAATAAATTCAAGCAGAGTTCAATAGAATCAACAGTCCATAAGTGTACGAACACCATGAGTGCTGTGGGTCGCCAACTTTCGTTGAACAATCTAGTGACGGTAGGTGAGAAACTGCGGTCATTTTATCATGATGAGAAAATGTACAGTCGCAGTTGCTTCAAAAATACAGATTCATGTAAAGTATAGATAAGGACAATTCATTCGTTTTAAGACGAATGTTTAATAATAAGATAGCGATTACCACAAATAAAAAAAGGTACATTGTTAAAAGCCCTGTTAAATTAACAAAGTGCTTGGACTCAGTCTTCGTAATTAAAATAAGCCCTATTTTTATATAATTTTACGGAGACGTCAGAAGTAAAGCTTATGTTGGTACTACATCACCATTAAAATATTGTGAGATTCAAACTGCAACAGTCTTAGGCGTAGCCAGCCCTGAGCTCAGGGTGGGGCAGCAGTATAAAATATTATGTAACTAGTAATATATACTCGCGGTCTTACCCCATAATTTTTTTTTATCCAAACGATTACATTCTAAAGTACCCTGTGTCTGTGTGTTGTTTTTGTATCGACTGTCGAGTATTAACTTTCTGACGAATATTAGGTATCGTAGATAGAACTTAGATAATAATGGTTAGGTACCTTATACTACAGATCAAAGCCAGGGTGCGGGAAGCGCCCCATCCTGCCCTACCGTGGCTACGCCCATGACAATAGTTGAATATAATTGTTATATCACAAATGCTTTAGCAGTTTTGACACAAACATATGGAGGTATAGACATATCGGAGTAAAAATCGGTTTTACTGTTCCGATTGCTTTCCTTGTATATTCTGTACTAGTTCAAATTCCTGATTTTACCCCAGTGAATTCTGTCTTATAGAATCTTGTTTATCAAATTTCATTTATATCTACTGTTTTCTTTAGTTCTTCATACATGTATCCATCTCTTGCTATCTGATGCTTCTGTAATATTCCTTTAGTTGTATATTTACCATTGTGCAAGCTGTTAATTTTGGAATTAGACACCCCCATTTTTTTAATTGGATATTAATCGGATGGTGCACCTGATATGATGTCCCCAACTGCGCTGATAGTTTATGCTTCTTTATGCATCTTACCATTCTCCACTGGTGCCCCACCCGTGAAGGATGATAAGATGAACATGAAGTTAGGTCAGTTAGTCCATCATGACAAATTCACCAAGAATTTCATGACACTTTCAAGGGGGTCAACCTGACATGGTGTACCATTAATGGGGCCACTAATTCCCATTGCTAATAATTTCCTCCCTCCGCCCGTCCGGGTACTGTATTAGCGCTGACGAGTGCATAATAAGACATGATATTAAATATTTTCGGGGTAGGTTCGTATAATTAAAATAACATATGTCGCTCGTATTTTTTAATGAAATCCGATTTATGTTATAATTTCATTTTATAATTACTATTAGCTCAGATCGCGACCATCTTAGAATTCCGCGTCTCGACAATACGTGTTTATTATACATTACAATAGGAATTTATTCGAACGTAATGGAAATAATTCGATAATACTATAGTTACTTGACCATCGTACCTTATCATAGAAGACACTGTTTCACAGTCATAGACAAGAATATCTCGTCTATGTATACAGTACAACCAGTAATAGACACATTTGAGGTCACCACTCTTCTACAATACATTGGCGGCAAATCCAATTATACATGCTTTTCTATCATAAACGACGAACATAATTATAAAGTATGGCCTGAGGACATTAATTAAATTCAATGAATAAAAAGAAAGATATTAAATTGAAAAACACGCAAATTATAAAAAATTTTGCTGTATAACTTTCAAGATGATAAATCATTTTGAGATCATTGTGTAAAATTATTACTTAATAGATTTGTTTAATTCCAAGTAGTGGTAGCGGAATTAAACAAAATAATATAAATCTATTACATAAAGAAATGGAATTCCGCAAAATAACACCTAGTTCTATAGAAAACATACTGTATAAATTTCAGAATGTATAGAAAATTCTGGAGATTTTCATAATGCCCAGCTTCGAACCTGGCCTCTTTTTCAAAGTACCAAATAATAGACAAATTCTATTAATAGACTTAAATAAATTTGAACTCGAAAAGATGCTACGCTTGCTCTTACTATAACAGGAGAGACCCTAACCGAGTATACCTGTTAGAAAGAGATGCAAGTGAGATCTATCGTCTATCTTCTTCATCGTATTCTTACACTTACTGATAACGAGATAGATATATAGCAGTTTACATTCAAATTTATTGAAGTCGTATTTTCAATTACAATGATATCTCTATATTATTCATGTTGACATGTTATATTACAATGTTGACATCATAGTTACACTATAATTATATAAATAAAAGAAATATAAAACAATGGAATATCACAGAGCAAAATAATACTGGAATTAGACTAGTCAAAACTAGTTCTGCCTACCCTGGAGGGGAACTGGCACGATAATACATTAGCAAAACCCTGACAATACATTCTTTCATAATAACATTTAATAAACAAACATACATAACAGTATCTCATACTGGCGTAATAAAAACATTAAATGAACAAGGTATAATATAATAATTTCTTAATATTCACAAGCCTTCAAAATAATACTGATTTAAAATATAGTTATAACTTAATATAATATTTGAGATCATTAAATATATACCAATAAGTCTTCCTTTCAAAGAAGAGAGAAAGACGAATTATAGACGATCGGCAGTCTCGTATATTATTGAATATGTTCACACTCGCTTATATTTAGGACCATTTATACAACACTACCCATAACATTGTCTCAACGAAATTATAACTAATAGCGCGTTTCCACCGACTTTATACATGCATTCCATGTGAATAAATATCACACATACACCAATATTGTATATATAGTATTCATAGAACCTAAGCAATCAGAACAAATCAATCTATGCAATGGAAACATGTATAAAAAACGAATATATTACATGTATAAAACAAGTTACATAAAAGAACATGGGGACGAAAGTATAAATATATTCTTTTATTATAATTTATATAAACTATTTCTATATATAATAATAGATTGAATGTTAAACTTTTTGGTTCAGTTTGACTGTCAGCTAATATCTCAAGAACATAACGTTGGACTTAAATTTAGGATGGTTGTACCAATAACAAAAGGTTTATAACAATATTTTTTATATATTAAATAATTTTAAGTTATGAATACTAGCTTTTAAGAATATCATTGCAATCTCTTGAAGCATATGGATACATGCATTTTTGTCTACATTTACATTCTTCTGGGATATAAATTTATTATTAAATAGTTGTAGAAACCGATTTGAACGGTTCGCAACTGTCAATGGTATAATAATCGTAATTATTATCAATTTCCATCTGTGCCTTAATTATGTAATGCTGTTAATAAAAATTCTCATTTCACAGATTGAAATGAGAATTTTGCAACAATGTACGGACAATTACAGTTTCATTTACGAACACACATTGCAATTCTCAAATGGAGTACAGACAATCTCATTCACATTTTCTTTAATATGTAACAATTGAGAATTCTTAATACTAACATTACATAAGCACCTGTGCACACATATGTATGCTGCCAATGTATATGTTATTACTTCAGAGATTGCAGTAATTTCCAATTGTCTATGTATACATGTAAATATATATATGTCTGATTTAGCATAGTCTAATTAGAAATAATTTTGGACAATTGTATACAGTATACTTGGATTTCATCTATTTCTTATCCTACATATTGTTTCTTAGTGTTGGAGAAGCAAACTATAATTACGTCATTAAACCCACAATTCGATAGTTAGTCGCGTTAAAAAATTACAAGTCGTACGCTTAATTATAATACTGCAACTCAAAAATTTTTGAAATTATACTCTATAATTAAAACTTTTAGTGGCGTTTCCAACATTTTATGTTTTGAGTATTATCCAGTATTGTATTAAGCATTATTCGATATGTTGTTATATGGTATGCAAAATATCTTATTTATTTTTACCGACGGATTGTTTGCTTGTAATTATTTCAAATTTAAATTACAATGATTTTATTAACTTATATACAAAAATCTTTTCTAATTATAGACTCGCCGCCTTTTCCTTCCAGCTATTTTTTTAATCTGAGGAAAAGGACAAAAGACGAAAAGTTCATATTTATTTATAGGTTATATGAATAAGGATGGGACTAAGTAACACAACCAACTATCGATATTAGGAATCGAATAATCACACATGCCGTTTCAAAGCGTTATTATTAAACAAGTGAGTACCAACTTGTTATTTCGCGATTCAAAGCGATAATAATGAATAGCTATATTGCTAAATAATTTTAATATCAATCTTCAATCAACAATCAACTAGATGATCACGGCGGAAAACTAATATAACCATTCACCCATATGAGTGTGGGACAGTCCCGCATTCAGGCTGTCTGTCCCGCTGTCCCCAGACTGATACAACAGTTTTGCTTTTGAAAATAGACAACGGTAAGAGTATGTTTAAGTAAAAACGATTAGTCTGATATTTGAGGATTAACTAACATAAGTACCGTCTTTAATATATATATTATGACTAACAGACGCTACCGGTGACGGCTAGCCGAGTGTTTTAATATTCTATAAGAGAAAAAACCAACATAGAACTTCCTTCGTTTTAGAAGTAATTTAAACTTTAAACATAAGCAATAAAGCACAATTTTAAACAGGATTAAACTAAATTCAAGTGAAAAAAATTTTTCTAAGTGAGTATCTGTATAGTTGGTCATTCTTATTGCCGTGACATCTAGTTGATGTTCCTCATTGAAGTAATAACATGTGGGCCTTCATATCACATCAACCCCAACTAATCTCAATAGTCTCTGTATCGCAGTAGTTAAATTGCAAATAAATACAATTGATTGTTGTCGTATACTAACATTGACGGATTTCATGGTTTAGTAGTTTAGCACACTGCCTTATGTCCGATGGTCGCGGGTTCGATTCCCGGCACAGTACAAACACTTGTATCCATGAGTAGATGTTTTTGATGGATCTGGTGTTTCGTATGTATGTAAATACATGTTATTTTATATAAGTATTTCTATCAGTTATCTAGTACCCATAACAGAAGTTCTACTTAGCTTGGGACTAGGTGGTGTTGTGTTGACAGATTTTTTTATGTAACTGGAACGATATAAGTCGGTCCACCAAATGACCAAATGACCACCGAATGAACCGTCTTTTATATACATAGCAGAACAGCTCGTGACCACGGCCAGTGCAACATAGTCAAAACATCGATAGAGGTAAATACCTTTATTTACCATAAAATTGTTAGTGTTAAAACCCGTTTAAAAAAATACTGTTGAGGATAGTTATTGTATGAATAAAAATCCCACAGGCAACGAAGTATACGACAACACAACGTACGTACTCACGCGTAGCAAGCAACCATTAAAACCACTATATTACAATATCTACAAGGAAGCCAAGCTCAGTATTCGTAGAACATTAATAAAAAATGCGACCTCAGTCACCCCTATGTGTAAAAGCTATAACTTCAAACTTCGAAACTACCGCAAAAATTGTAAAAGTCTATTTAACCATATTTTTAATTAATTGGCCCATTTATGTTGAGTTTCGAAACTAGCACTAACGTACAGTTTGGCACTGAGTTTTCACTTTGGCACGAGTTGCACTTGGCACTTTCACTATATACTCGCTCGGTGCGGTGGAAGATTAAACGTTAGGGTATCATTCACAAAGTACTGCTCTTGCTCCTCATCATCAGGCAAGTAGTACCCGTAACTGCCATCGTTGGACACTTGATCAGCTCCGTAGTGAGGATTCCTTGGCATTTCGCAGGCGAACTCCTCCCAGTTTCTATCTATGGATTTTCTTCTTTTAGCAAATAAAATAGACCCGTCGAACGCGTACTCGTCATCGAAATGCAGAACAGCATCATCGTAGAAATAGTTCTCTTTACGTATGTTGCTTGTGTTCCTGGCTATGTTCTTCATTAGTTTCTTCTTCGCGTAGCTAGACTTTTCGGAGTCGTAGTCGTCGACTAGAGGGTCATTGCTTCGGTTCTCCGATCTGATATTCATTGAATAGAGAGAGGAACTGTGCGGGCTGGTCTCCATCTTCATGCTGATGCTGTGCCGGTACGGATTGAGGTACTGTTCATTGTTGTTGCATCTCATTTCATACATCATCATACCTCTGCGAAGCTGTTCACGCCTCTTGGATACCATTTCTCTGAAGTCCTCAGGGTCTAGTTGGAACTCGTTGGTTTTCGCATTCATATATAAGTATCCGGAGGCTGAGTTTAGTCGTAGAGACTGCGAGCGGTTCTTCGACGATGACTTCTCTATGAACCGTGGTATGCTGCCCAATTCGCTGTAATTTTTAGACTTTATGTGTTTGATGTTTGTAGGCGGAACAGGTGATAGTGGATCGCGATATGGTATCGATCTGTAATTTATTGATATCAAATTAAATTAACTATAATCCAAATTAGACAAACTTGTATGCTAAAATACAATGGAGACATATTTATTCAGAGTCACATCAGTTTTTTAATAGTGCAATATTTTAATAAACCACATATCGCTAGATGAAATAGTATGTCCAAACTCACTTGTTAGGTCCGAAGCAGTTGCAAGAACAGCTGCAGACACTCGGCGCATACTCTTCATCAACATACAGTGGCACCAGTGATGTATCACCTGTAACAAATTGACAAAACATGTTACATATGCTTTCATATTAATTAAGAAGCATGTTCTACTAGATAAATGATAACATACAATTTTTTCTTCTGTTTCCATTTTGAAATCAGTCAAAGTCTATGAACATGCAAAATTAGATATTTAAATTAATGTCAAAGTTATGTCTGTTAAAAAATATAACGTAAATACCTTAGAAATTCAGAATATAGTATTAATCAAAAAGAATATACACTCACAGTTTCTATGATATCAAAGAGTTGTTTATTTTATGTCACAATATTTAATTTAGTTTTAGCGTGATGTTATATCCTAAGGCGTTCCTCGATAAATGGGCTTTTCTATACAGAGTTTTCAAAATTGGTTCAGTAGATCCAGAGAGAAGCTCAGAAACTTCTTTATAACAACAATATATGTTTGTTAGTATTGGGTATATCTAGGGTTAACATACATTAGGCGTCGGCTATATACATAAACAGCCCCGCAGTCACATCAACACATGCCGGCCATGACACTATTCGTAGGCATTCTTGAGGACCAAGATATCATGCCTCCGTTACCAGTAACTTCACTACCTTATCTCACCATTCGTGCAAAATACATCATAATCACATCATATTTTATGCATGCGTGGGCTACACATCCTATATGCTTCCTCATCTGCTTAATAAACTTATTTGAAGTACAGTATGTATGATAGTTACCAGTAGCGATGTGCCGGGGGTCTGCTGGCAGTCGAGTTCCGCGTGATACACCACGCAACACGGCCCCGTCCGCCGTGATCACATCCCCCTCCAGACGTACGGCCACTTGCTGTGCCTGAGGACACCATATTTTATTATATTACTTATTTCTTTGACAAATATAGGTTCTAAATGAAATGTTAATATTTTGTGAGGAAGAAAAATATATTCGTATATAATCGACACATTCAAGGTAATAGTTAACTATTTATATACCAAATTCTCATAAAAAAAATATTTATACATACATATAGGGCCACTGACGAGATAAACATTCAAGCAATTGTCAGTTTGTCTATAGGCTTGTACATTTATGCACACTAATCTCCGAAACGGATTAACCGATTTGGTTGCTGTTTTCACTAATGTACCTATTATGGTTAGCTTCACTTGAAATTTTGTTAGGACATGGGAATAATCGGAAATTAATATTTTCTATCATACCTGTTCTGCCTGTTGCTGATCCCTCTTCTCGTCTTCTGTGTTCATGGTAACGAACCTTAGTACCAGCAAGTTGAGGCAGGCGGCAACAATCGCTAATCCGAACAGTATGAAGATGAGAGCGAACATAACGTATGAAGGTTTTCGATTCAGCGCGTTGTCTTTTTGTAGTGCCACCATATCACCAAAACCTGTTAATTATTTGTTATTTAATTGACTATGATATTGTAGCGCAGTGGTTATTACTTCACCGCTGCAGCGTTATATATTATATAATGAGGTGACGCTACATTAGTTTATTGTCATACTAGCTACACGCCCCCTGTACATGTATTATATATATATGTACCTTTGTCTAGAAACACTTTATCTATTAAAAAAACCGCTTCAAAATCCGTTGTGTAGTATTAAAGATTTAAGCATACATAGGAACGGACAGACAGCAACAGCGACTTTGTTTTATAACATGTAGTGATGTAGGTAGTGAGTATACCGGTAAAATTATTGTACATATTGTACGTTCATCATATGGTGTTCTACATGTCTTATCAGTAACGCATTCGACGCGCAGTCTCGACGTGTGCTGTCTTTACTAAACTTAAACCTGTGTTTATGTGGAGAGGTGCTAATGGAATGGTCTCAAGTTTTGCCAGAAATAATACCAGTGTAGGCACAAAATTAATGACAATACAACAACAATATTCTAAATGTTTGCCAGTAGAGGAGATTGTTATGTACTTTGTCAGGTCACCCTCTACTTAATCCCACTGGAAACTATATTGGTTAATGCCAGGTGATTTCAAGTATTGTCAATATACAGTATTTATGTATTACAAGAAGTTATAGTCCCCTATCAGGGGGAAGGGGATTGTTAGTAATGTGGATTGATAACCCCATTGCTAGCAATGTACCTTGTCAGGTCGACCTCCATGGTTCCCCCTGGAAACCATCGTGTTTAATTCAATTAGTCACGATGGGCTAACTGACCTGACCTCATGCTCATCTTATCATCCTCCACTGGTGCCCCGCCAGCGTAAACCGTTAGCGCAGGCGGGTGCACCATTCCATTATCATCCACAAAAAAAAAAAGTCCCCTATCATTTAAATCATCAATGATATCTAAATTTTGCAACAATTTCGTAATAAGGCACTCAAAACTATAACTGCTGCGCCTCTATTCATCAGAACAACTGAATTACATGAGTACTTAGGAATGAGAACGGTCAGGAAAGTAGACTATAGAGCAAGAGCATATAAAGATCGGATAGGTGTGCATACTAATATCCTTGCGAGAGCACTATAAGAGCCAATAAATTACAAGTCTTAAAAGACATTGTTCGGACATCGTCGGGTCGCCGGACTGGAGTCCGCGAGCAACGCTGCGGGGCGCGGCTCGAGGGGGGTGCGATTAGCACCGCACCGACCGTCACCCTTACTTCTGATCTTGCCACCGAATACTACACGCGCGCTCAATATTCTATCTCATTCTCTGTATTTCAATATTTAAATTATTATACTAAGTTACAGTCCATATCCAAGTTTTATTTAAAAGTCCTTAGTGTAGGACCCTATAGACATCATGCATGAGATTTTATTCACTAATGAGAAAAAATGTGATATAAAATACAGTTTCCTCGCTTTCCCGTCAACAAATTCCACAACAAATCTGCTAAGGGCTTATTGAGCCAGTAGTAAGATATAGAAACGGAAAGAAATGTTAAATAAAGTATTGATGTTCGTAATTAACGAATTCCTAGGAGAACATTATGATATTCTTAAGTATAAATACTTACCAATAGTAGTTAACGTGATAAAACAGTAGTAAACACTATCGAAATAGCTCCAGCCCTCGCAGGTGGAGAAGGCGGCGGCACCACCGGCGATCGTCAGCGATGAGAGAGTAGTCACCACGCATATCAGGTCCACTTCTGTCGCGTTTGTTTGTTTGCAGTTCATTGCTCGCTTTATTGACTTTATTATGACACTGTAACAAACAAATGGACAATATATATAATAATATCAGGACAATTCACACAGCGCCATCTAGATCCAAGTTAAGGTTTAGCTACCTTAAGCTTGTGTTACTTTACTATATAACTGATACAAATACATAGATACAAACAATCATACTCATGAATACAAATGTTTGTGCCATATGAGAAATCGAAGGCGCGACCATCGGAAGTAAGGCGGTGTGCTAAGACGCTAGACCACCGAGGTCGTCAGCAAAAAATATGTAATTATAGCGTTATTCCCGTGCCAAAGGAGTCTCAAAACACCTAACCTTTTATGGCTTTGTTAATTCTTGACGATTTACCCTATTGGGCCGACCAAACTGTTGAATTAAATGTAAGTTAAAATAATTTGCTTTTTTTATGCCTGTGGATGCGACTACCGTAAATAGCGTGATGTTATAAAATTTATAGCATTCTTAAATAAATGCACTATTCAACACTGAAAGAATTTTTCAATTAGAACCTGTAGTTCCAGAGATTAGTGCGTGTGGTTACCATACAAAATTCTCCAGCTTTATATTATTAGTACAGATAAACAATTCCTCTTACCTACTAAGCCTGTTGACTCGTTCACCAATACTCTGGAACATGATGAGGCCGAGTGGTATCCCCACAATGGCGTAGAACATTGTGAACAGTTTCCCGCCGATAGTAGCTGGCGTCGAGTGTCCATAGCCTGAATAAGGATTGACATAATTTTTTTTTAATGAAATTGGATTTACGATAAATAGCCCATTCTGCCTGATGTTCCTACATATATAATGGCTAAAATGATAAGCTAAATGTGGAAAACAGAGTTACATATGCTACCTGCCCTCAACATCTTGTTTCACAAGCTATGTCCCCATTTGAATTTGTCATATACCAGTCAAATTAAATGCAGGTCAGCTACTAGACTTTTATTGAGGAATAAGCTATTTTCTGAAGGTTTCAATGTCATATAAATAATCCATAGTCTTCTATAGACTATGTATTATTTATATGGGATATAGAATATGAATGGAATTTAATACATGGGACAGAATTTTGTAACAGCAATGATGCTGTCAATGTATATAGTAGACAGTAACTACTTCCCATTAGGTAGGCCAGCTCAAATACCATTTATAAAAATTTGCCATTATATAAAAAGTCATGAAAAACTATCAATTAACACAAGTTATAAATAAAATCTGATTTGAAATGGGAGTAGCATACAAAGTACCTATATTATACTAAATATGTACGGAGATGGTTGTTCAGAATTTACTATGATATAACCTTGTTTTCTATTCCAATTGTATACAAAAATGAAAATAGATATTTTGTCCTCTTACCAATAGTGGTGAGTACAGTAGTGGCATAGTAGAAGGCTCCAGTGAACTTCCACTGCTGGCCGGCCTTGTGAGGCTCTGATTTCAACACCACTGTCTCCATCACACGGAAGTCCTCTTCCGTGATATTGTATTTTCTTATTATTATTCCTTCTATAGCTGTGGATAGTACTTTTTTATTATTAGGTTTGCTCTAGTTATAGCACTGCAATCTTAGGAAAGAAACTGAGCTTAGAGTTCATTAATTCTAAGCTCTGTCAAGAACAGAGTTGTCTAGTTGTGAGAAATAGTTTTTATCTCCATAAGATACAGACTATTTATAAAAAAAAATTCTTGTATGTGCCTGAGTAAACTGCAAATACATAAAGTAACAAGTATATTTCTCATAGTAACTAAAATATCATATAAATTTAGTATACAACTCTTTTGTCACTTTCTTTCAAAGAAACAAAATATTGTTAAAGAAGAGGATGAACTAACCGGTTTTATTAAAAGCTAAAATAACTTTCACTGAGGTTCAACCGCAGAAGAAAGGTGATGTTATTGTTTTTGTAAAATAATCTGTTTTGTAAAAATAATAATATATAATTTTATCTTAATTAGATATAATTGTTTTGAATTTGTTATGCACTCACCTTGCAGTACTTCAAATCTGTGCCTCTCTGTAGTAGATTCTAATGCATCAAATACAGCTGCCCCTACCAATAAATATGTAAATGTGCACACAATTAACGATAGAGTGCGAACATTTTGCTTCTTCATCACTGCCGAGTGTTACCCCGGCCTTAGGGCATAAGGCCCAGGTACAAATTTTACCCTTATACCCTTTAACTTACTGTTTGATTCAGTCAGTAAATATCATATTGTCTTTGTTTTCTGGGTTTCTTTTGCTAAGTAACCATCTTATAATTTTTAGAGGTAAAATCAAAATAATTCCATTTTTAAATTATGGAATTGTGCCCTTTTTCCATAGAGTAACACAAAGCTTTCTTTATTTGGGTTGCTACATAAGATGATATGCTTTCTCAATATTATTTTTCTATTTAGAATTTTAAGTTCTTTGATTCTGTTGTGAAATCACTAGTGGCAGTGTGGTCTATTATTCAAAATTTTCAAATTATGTATCACTTTATGGGAAAATTGTAATATTGATAAACATTAAATTAATACTAGGAATAAATTGATCCCTTCAAAGGAAAAAATCTTCTAAATGGAATCATGTTTAGTTAATATTTGTTTAGGTTTCCCTTTATTTCTTCTAAAATTTCCATCCTCATTTTTGCAGTAATTAACCATGTTGTTTCATCTGAAATACATTAATGCATTAATTTAATGCTAAGGAAACAATTAAAATCAAACAATTAATTCACAAATAATATTTTTTTTAATTCGAATTTAGAACAAAGAACTCACCTTTTATGAAGTAAACATTCACGGGAGCTTCTACAATTTGTTATATATATATTTTTTATCACGAACGGCATCTATAAATATTTAATTATCTGCAAAGCTGTATCCTAAAAATAACATCGTGCTTTAGTCCGCATTCACATCCATAGGTCAACGCACACGGCACCGTATCTGGGTCAAATGTTATGACAAATTATTTGTAATAGAAATTGTAAAAACAATGTTGTCCTGTACCTTTAATAGGTCATATGATCTCATAATGGTAGATATAATAATGTATAAATGGAAAGGTAGATAATTTCTAACTGGAAAGCCCTATGCGGTATTTTCTTTTCTGTCACACCACCTAGTTTTCTTCTGTCCTCCCAATCACACATGCACTTCCTTCGTTCATAACGAACAACTGATTATTTTATCTCACTACCATTTTGGAAGAAGAACAAAGGACAATTTTACATAATTGCATTTGTTAAAAATAACAAAAAAAATATTTTTAGCGAGCAGTTTTCCTGCACTTCCTTGACCTGGTTTGTGTGGTGATAACTAAAAATAATCATTTCTGTGTTGCTATATTATAAATTTCTTTGTTCATATTGCAAAATCAGAGAACAAAATTAAATGGTTTCATTTATGAAAACATTCAAGGTAACAATTTATATCGTATAAATTAGTTGACATAACAATATTTTTATGGAGCATGTATTTATTTAATAGAATATTAACAATTTGACAAGTTGACACTTGCCATTTGCCAGAACAAAGCATTTGAAGCGTTACGCAAGAAACGTTTAAACTAGAAGTTCTTAATGTAATATGTAGATGGCATTGTTTCGATTTTAATTTTCAACTACAAAATATACGTCAGTGTTCCAACATATGTATATTTATTCAATATATCTAACGATTTACACTGGCGGGCTTGTGGGTGATGATAAGATAACCATGGGGTAAGGTCAGTTAGCCTATAGAGACCAATTCACTAGGGTCATGATGGTTTGTTCACTCCCTGGAAACGCGTGGAGGTCAAACTTACTTGGTACATTGCTACTTATGGAGTCATAAACCACATTACTAACCCTCCGCCCTGTTCAAATATATGTAAATATACCATACCATTTTCATTGATAATCTATCGATAACAATAGCTTAAAGATTATTATTAATAGCGGGGGAGGCTAAGCCAGTACAAGCTATTGGTATTTGGGACCACAGAACCTAGAAGTTTCTGACAATAGTGTTGCAGACGCAGTCTTTCAGACGCATTGTTGTCATGTATGCGACGATCGCTACTTACCAGGCGGACGGTCATCTCTTTTTTATGTAATTGTGAAGAGCTGCTTCTGACGGCGCACCGGAGGATAAGTGGCAACTGTCGTATATATTCATGAAAGCAGACATCACGTTATCATGTGAAATAATCATTCTCATGCGTTCCCTTTTTGGAGGATTTAGATATTATTACTTACCTTTTCAGAACACTTGGATATTTTGCCTCCTTTTCTTGTAATTTCACTGCCTTATTTCCACCATTCAACCAAAGCATACAAAGCAAATCGGTTGGAATAGGACTGAGTATTTTTTTCAGAGTTTATCTAGAGCTTATTTGCCATGCCAGTAGTACATAAAAAAATACTAATTATTAATTAGATTAGTAATTAAAATTAATTAGATAAGGGCCTGTGCCTTCAGTACCGGCTTGGGGTAACTAGGCCGTGACGCGAAAGCTGCATTAGGGCCCGCTTTCACAGGAATATAGAGCTGTGTCAGGTATGACATACAGTCAATATAGTGTGTCAACAGGTTACATTTTAAAATCTATTATATTTTAGATCTCTCCCAAAGAAAGTAAAAAGATTCCTTTGTTGGACATTGTTATTACAGAGTCTATTCGTTTACTTCTATAACTTCTCATCTCCTTCCTCTCATGCATCCACACCAAATCGGCATATTCTTGACTTCTCTTTTGAAACAAAAAATGTAACGGATCAAAATGATTATAATATATTTATTATAACTGTTATCGGGTAATTTTTATGACATTGAGATGACAAATAATTAGATGTCTCACCTGTTAGCACAGCACTTCATCATCAGACATAAATAGTACCGTTCATGTGTAGATTATTTATGACGACCTCGGTGGTCTAGCACGCCGCTTTACGTCCGATAGTCGCGGGTTCGATTCCTCGTACGGCAGAAACATTTGTATTCATAAGTATGATTGTTTGTATCGATTTGGATATTTTCTATGTATAATATGCATGTATTTACAAAAAAATATATCTATGTATTTGTATCAGTTGTCTAGTACCCATAACACAAGCTTTAGCTAGCTTAACTTGTGTCTAGATGGCGCTGTGTGAATTGTCCTGAGATTATTCTTTCTGAGGAAAAGGTGAGATATTTACTATACCCAATAATTATTACTGGCATATCTCAGTAAAATCCAGATGCCTCTACTTACTTTCTACTAAATTACTTTATTAAAAATAAAGTGGTAATAACATCTCATAGTATACAATAGAGTTTTAGTATGCAATGTCATAAAATTGAGATGCAAAATGGCTGTAGGTCTGTCTGTTGCTGTTGCAGCGACTGTTGGCGTGCTAGTGGTGGAGGAAACGTGAGGGGGGGGGGGAGACTTGTACTAGACCTTTCTCTCAAGTTCTGGGTCACGCTGGTTTATGTAAGTTTTGTTTATATTATGCTATCCGTAGATATAATATACCGTTTACCGGTGCGGGCGCGGTATTTACGGTATTGATGTTAATTGGATATTTCGTAGTCGTTGTACCTAACTTAAGTTACACAGGTGTTTCTCTAACAATTCTTTCTGTTGTTAACAATATTCATTACAATTAAAAAATATTTATTGTATTTTTTATTTGTATATACATAGGTATGCATATGGTCAAGTGGAAATGGATTGTATTTTTCATTATAATAAAAAAAATATTTCCAACAAGAAAAGGAAGAAATCTTTGTAGTGATCAAATATAATCTCTTTTCACTATAACTTATTTAATTTCTTACATTTATAAATAGGCGATTTGGGTCCCAGTGCTGGGCAAATTTCTTTCTATCCTGAGCTTAATTCAGTCTGTTTTTATTTGGTGCAAATAATATGATTTATATCTTATCGCATATAACAATGCGACTAAAATGTTAATTGTTAAAAAGACAATTATGTGTAAATTTTAAATAAATTTCTATTTACTGTGAACGTCCACAGACAAAGGGATAGCACGACTGGACCTACTTTTCAAGGTTTTCTCTCAGTGAAAGGGCCGGACGAGATATCTAGTATACACTTCATTGAGTGGAATCATATTACATTACCATCTATAATATATTATATGACACTTTTTTATTTCTCTAGACCATTCTTGCGCCATCTAAAACTTTCTGTCTCCAGTATCTAAAGCTTGTCTGGAAGAGATTGCTTGTGCGATACGGCTTTATCACTCTCTTTTAAACAATTAAATATATTCAATTTATATGTATAATTAATAAAAATCACGTGATCTTATCACTTTATTGATTTTATTTATTGAGTTCCCGAAATTTCGGCAGTGTTTCATGATGACTGACATGCCATGATCACAAGTAAACTTAGGTCAGTTTCCCTGTGATCATGGCTGTTGACACACTAGAGTTTTACTAATTACCTATACATATAAAAAGTAGTCAAATTTAAAACAGTATAGATTCAATATACTGTTTTACATAATTATTATTAAGAGTTGGCATCCCTTTTGAAAACGAAACTAACGTTTCAATATGATGGCAACTCTTATAAAATGTATTAATTACTCTGTGGATAAATTAAAACAATGTTTTTTATTTAAATAGTAACAATGAATTATCTATTAAGTTAGACTTACTATGTTAAGTTATGTCATTATTTAAGAGTCATAAATAATGAACTGTCATATTTTATTTGAAATCAAAAATAATTATACTGAAAATGCTGGGTAATAAATATGATAAATATTTATTGCACAGTAGGTATACTGTTTATTACTTCTGCCACAAATGTACTGCTACATACACAACACTTTTTTTTAACTGAACTTTATTTAAAAAAAAACAGTATCGATAGTAAATAACCCAATTAAAGAAGGAGTGATGTAAGCCAATGTTAATCAGATTGTACAACTGCACTCTGTATACCATTCAAGGTATTTGTCGAAATAACTGATGCCACTACGGGTTACTTATATAGAAGATATAGTCAATAATATTATTACTAATGAACTAATAGAATTTAACTTATAAAGAAGTTCAATGACAATATTATGTATGAAGAGATTATTGATTACTATATTAATATTACGAATGTGAGGTGACAATCTGTATGAAAATTGAGGATTTTTTTTATTGAATAATAATGTAATTTTTCCGTAAACGATGACTATTCCCCTCCCTAATTAACATGCAAAATTAAATAAAACCCGTAATTGTGACGTCGGACGCGTGCTTAATTGCCTATTCCGTTTAACTCGTCCGAACACACAACTAAATGTTCCCATTTCACCTAGTAAAACACCTTTCTTTACTCACACATGCATATATATTACACTATCTATGTAACGTGTGCATTCACAACTGCGTATGTGTGCTTCTATGTAAATACGCAATTTTATGACAGTGTGTGTTATGAGGGGGACACGTCATACTTTCGCGCGATTCACTGTTTGTCTTTGTGTGTTAAGTGTACGGTTGACTCTTGTATTGGAAGGTGATGATTCAGAGAAGGTCAATTATAGTATATAAACATGTTATATAGCATGAGTAATTACATAGAGCAGGAAGAAAGGAGGTTGCAAATTCGTAGCAAAGAAAAAAGTCATGAATACTTTTTGACACGTCTATACTATTAAATATAGAGCTAAAGATTATAAGTTTTAATATTCAGGGTTACTTTTGGTACTACTGATATTGTTTTGGGTATAATTATTATTTTATTTGAATATCTGTTATATATAGAAAGAAAAGAGTAGGTAAAGAATAAAAAAAGATGTGATAGTATTATATATATTTATTTAAGTATCACTATCATTTGTCTAGTATATATATTGCAAGCTCTAATTAGCTTACGACTAGATGACGCTTTGAAAATTGTATTACTATTATTTTGTATGGTAATCTGTTTTTATTAGAAAAAAAAACATCGAATTGAAAACGTACTATTTTGTTTGAAGTCGTTTGAATAATATTAATACCTTTGTTTTTTGAAGTCATTTTAATAATACATATCAATACCTTTGTTTTTTGAAGGCGTTTTGAATAATAATAATGCCTTTGTTTTTTGAAGTTGTTTTGAATAATATTACACCTCTATTTTTTGAAGTCGTTTATATAATATCAATACCTTTTTTTTTAAATCGTTTGAATAATATTAATAGCAGTTCGCTGTCATTCCCCACCTTAACGGCGCGTGCGCGTGTACGTGTGTGGATGTTGCGTATAAACACGCAATGCCAATGGCAGTTATGAGCGCGGAAAGTGGCTTGTAAAACT